AAATAACATATCTATCTCATGGTCTGTACAATGCCTCCAAAATAGTATGCCTAGTTTGGATAGGATAGCCTACGGAAAATTATACCCAAGCATATTCAAATCGTTTATGAAAAACAGGGATTATACAGCAATCTCAACGACTGTGGAGCCAGCTCAACTCCCCCTCCAGACCTTGTTTTGACTGGCCTTTCTGCATGTTGCCCATGGCAACAACGCTGATGTAGCACCTTGCTCAATGCGCACACACTGCCGGTGTTGGCCCGTCTCTGGAGCAGGTGTTACAACAAAAGCATTAGCCATAAAGACAATAGGTTGTTGTTTAGTTACTGTAAAACCCTCACAAGACGGATTATCCTGTTGCTGTGTGAGTGGGTCACCTCTGGCCAGGTGCAAATGTGCCCCTGAGGACTAATGGACCGGTAGCATTGAGGTTAGCGCATTGGGACAATAACCGAAAGGTCGCTGGTTTGAATCCTGGAGCCATGACCTTGAGCAAGGCACTTAACCCCAATTGCTCTGGACAATGGTGCTGGACAATGGTGACCCCACTCCCTGTACATGTCTAAGGGGGAGTTGGGATTTGCAAGATATAAGCACCCCCCCAAATCACTATTACTACATATGATTTTAAAGCCATTCAATGCATCTGCCCCCTAGCCTTACTTACAGGTGCTTTCCGCCTAGTAATCTAGAACAGCTACCCCCCAAGCGACCAAATCTGGCATCCCAACAAAGACGACGCCATACAGGACATTAAAGAACAGCCAAAGGAACCGCAGTCACTGTCCAGGCTGTCATTACTAATACAGTGCATTCGGAAAGTATTTAGACCCTTTTACTTTTTCCACATTTTGTTAGGTTACAGCCTTATTCTAAAATTAATTAAACCGTTTTTCCCCCTCATTAATCTACACACAATACCCCATAATGACAAAGCAAAAACAGGTTTTCAGACATTTTTGCAAATGTATTAAAAATAAAAAACGTAAATATCACATTTACATAAGTATTCAGACCCTTTACTCAGTACTTTGTTGAAGCACCTTTGGCAGCGATTACAGCCCCGAGTCTTCTTGGATATGACGCTACAAGCTTGGCACACCTGTATTTGGGGAGTTTCTCCCATTCTTCTCTGCAGATCCTCTGAAGCTCTGTCAGGTTGGATGGGGAGCGTCGCTGCACAGCTATTTTCAGGTCTCTCCAGAGATGTTAGATCGGGTTCAAGTCCGGGCTCTGGCTGGGCTACTCAAGGACATTCAGAGACTTGTCCCGAAGTCACTCCTGCGTTGTCTTGGCTGTGTGCTTAGGGTCGTTGTCCTGTAGGAGTTTTTTATTTATTTATTTTAATTTCACCTTTATTTAACCAGGTAAACCAGTTGAAAACAAGTTCTCATTTACAACTGCGACCTGGCCAAGATAAAGCAAAGCAGTGCGATAAAAACAACAACACAGAGTTACATATGGGGTAAAACAAAACAAAGTCAAAAATACAACAGAAATACATATAATATACAGTGTGTGCAAATTTAGCAAGTTATGGAGGTAAGGCAATAAAATAGGCTATAGTGCAAAATAATTACAATTAGTATTAACACTGGAATGATAGATGTGCAAGAGATGATGTGCAAATAGAGATACTGGGGTACAAATGAGCAAAATAAATAACAATATAGGGATGAGGTAGATGGGCGGGCTAATTTCAGATGGGCTGTGTACAGGTGCAGTGATCGGTAAGGTGCTCTGACAACTGATGCTTAAAGTTAGTGAGGGAGATAAGTGTCTCCAGTTTCAGAGATTTTTGCAATTTGTTCCAGTCATTGGCAGCAGAGAACTGGAAGGAATTGCGGCCAAAGGAGGTGTTGGCTTTGGGGATGACCAGTGAGATATACCCGCTGGAGCGCAGACTACGGGTGGGTGTTGCTATGGTGACCAATGAGCTAAGATAAGGCGGGGATTTGCCTAGCAGTGATTTATAGATGGCCTGGAGCCAGTGGGTTTGGCGACGAATATGTAGTGAGGACCAGCCAACAAGAGCGTACAGGTCACAGTGGTGGGTATTATATGGGGCTTTGGAGACAAAACGGATGGCACTGTGATAGACTACATCCAATTTGCTGAGTAGAGTGTTGGAGGCTATTTTGTAAATGACATCACCGAAGTCAAGGATCGGTAGGATAGTCAGTTTTACGAGGGCATGTTTGGCAGCATGAGTGAAGGAGGCTTTGTTGCGAAATAGGAAACCGATTCTAGATTTAACTTTGGATTGGAGATTCTTAATGTGAGTCTGGAAGGAGAGTTTACAGTCTAACCAGACACCTAGATATTTGTAGTTGTCCACATACTCTAGGTCAGACCCGTCGAGAGTAGTGATTCTAGTCGGGTGGGCGGGTGCAAGCAGCGTTCGGTTGAAGAGCATGCATTTAGTTTTACTAGTGTTTAAGAGCAGTTGGAGGCTACTGAAGGAGTGTTGTATGGAATTGAAGCTCGTTTGGAGGTTTGTTAACACAGTGTCCAATGAAGGGCCAGATGTATACAAAATGGTGTCGTCTGCGTAGAGGTGGATCTGAGAGTCACCAGCAGCAAGAGCGACGTCATTGATATACACAGAGAAAAGAGTCGGCCCAAGAATTGAACCCTGTGGCACCCCCATAGAGACTGCCATAGGTCCAGACAACAGGCCCTCCGATTTGACACATTGAACTCTATCTGAGAAGTAGTTGGTGAACCAGGCGAGGCAGTCATTTGAGAAACCAAGGCTATTTGGTCTGCCAATAAGAATGCGGTGGTTGACAGAGTCGAAAGCCTTGGCCAGGTCAATGAAAACGGCTGCACAGTACTGTCTATTATCGATCGCGGTTATAATATCGTTTAGGACCTTGAGCGTGGCTGAAGTGCACCCATGACCAGCTCGGAAACCGGATTGCATAGCGGAGAAGGTACGGTGGGATTCGAAATGGTCGGTGATCTGTTTGTTGACTTGGCTTTCAAAAACTTTTGAAAGGCAGGGCAGGATGGATATGGGTCTGTAACAGTTTGGATCTAGAGTGTCACCCCCTTTGAAGAGGGGGATGACCGCGGCAGCTTTCCAATCTCTGGGGATCTCAGACATTACGAAAGAGAGGTTGAACAGGCTAGTAATAGGGGTTGCGACAATTTCGGCGGCTAGTTTTAGAAAGAAAGGGTCCAGATTGTCTAGCCCAGATGATTTGTAGGGGTCCAGATTTTGCAGCTCTTTTAGAACATCAGCTGTCTGGATTTGTGTGAAGGAGAAGCGGGGGGGGCATGGGCAAGTTGCAGCGGAGGGTGCAGAGCTGGTGGCCGGGGTAGTGGTAGCCAGGTGGAAAGCATGGCCAGCCGTAGCAAAATGCTTGTTGAAATTCTCGATTATTGTAGAGTGTGAACCTTCACCCCAGTGAAATTCTCGATTATTGTAGAGTGTGAACCTTCACCCCAGTCTGAGGTCCTAAGCGCTCTGGTGCAGATTTTCGTCAAGGATCTCTCTGTACTTTGCTACGTTCATCTTTTCCTTGATCCTGACTAGTCTCCCAGTCACTGCCGCTGAAAAACATCCCCACAGCATGATGCTGCTACCACCATGCTTCACCATAGGGATGGTGCCAGGTTTCCTCCAGACGTGATGCTTGGGATTCAGGCCAAAGAGTTCAATCTTGTTCCTCATGGTCTGAGAGTCCTTTAGGTGCATTTTGGCAAACTCCAAGCGGGCTGTCGTGTGCCTTTTACTGAGTAGTGGCTTCCGCCTGCCCACTCTACCATAAAGGCCTGATTGGTGGAGTGTTGCCCTTCTCCCCCAATTGCTCAGTTTGGCCGGGCGGTGAGCTCTAGGAAGAGTCTTGGTGGTTCCAAACTTCTTCCATTTAAGAATGATTGAAGCAACTGCGTTCTTGGGGACCTTCACGTGGTCATTATAGGGTGTGTAGATTGATGAGGATTATTGAAAAAAGAATAAGGCTGTAACGTAACAAAATGTGGAAAAAGTGAAGGAGTCTGAATACTTTCCAAATGCACTGTACATACTATTGTCTTAGTGTGGTGCAGGACTATTTTCAAAGAACACCCTTTTACAAGTTTCATGCTGCACAATTATAAACCGGTTTCATAATGCCCAATTAACTTTCATGTGAACAATACACAAAATAATGAATTAGTTTTTATATAAAACATTTTAATTTTGAAAGGATGACAAGAGCAGGAGTTTTTCAATACAAGTCAAATAGCACTCCCACAGAAATGAATGGCTTAATGCAAAAGAGTGGACCACCGTGAACTCAAAGTATGACTGCATATCAACCCATGTGGGAAATCAAACCCGTGCTCTCTGGTGAGGTCAGAGACCACTAGAATCCTCATGAAAAGTCTAGTTATTTTTAAAACGTGACTTTTTCAAAGCCAGAATTTACTGCAAGGTCAAACACCTTTATTACATAACAAAAGGGAAAAACAAACATTTTACAGAGCAAACACCATTACAGCACCAATCAATGCCCGCTGACAGAAGAGAAAAGTGACAGCTTTAATCTGTGTATTTGCTTTTGTTTACAGTCCGATTCATGCACATCAGAGGAGAGACTCCCTGGCTGTACATGAAATCCTAAATTCCAAAAGTTGAATATTTTGTATGTTGTAGAATGAGAGACTTAGAAGCTTGTACAATGCAAGCTTCATAATTAAACGATTTCCCTCTGATCCTATCTTGAAAATTGAGGGGTCAAACAAAGAATTCTACAGTTTGGATATAAGCAATAACACATTTTGGGTCAAAGACAGGGGAAAAAATTATATTAATTGGGAGATCGCGTGTGACAATTAAAGCGCTTGATAAAAGACATCCTTCAATTGATGACCAAACCTGTAAAAACAAAACAAAAACTAAAGAATAAACAATTTGTACATTCTAAAGCTGAACCAGGTTAACGACAAATCAAAATCAAAAAGAGAATGGAAGATTTGGAGAGGAAGGAGGAGGGGTGTGACCGGGCTTCTCAGGACAGTGGCGGGGACAGCTTTCCAGCTTTCCTCATGGAACGCAGTGCCTTCTCTCTCAGGTGCTTCTCTAGGTCGTCGAGACGCTCTTCTACTTCACTGTCTGATTCCTTAAAGAAAGGTAGCATTAATTATATCATATTTCAGTTACGTTGCAAGGTAGGTGGTATCATGCTGCAGCATGCTTCATCATAGTATTTGAATAAATAAATACAATCAGCTGACGACATGCAATAAATGACAGCGGTGCACCATTTAACTTCTACAACCATGTCTAATTTGTTTATTTTGAATGAAATAGATGTGATGCTTAAATGCTGGGCGGTAAACCTTATTTTAGTATATACACTGGTATTGATGGACTGACCGGTTTGGATTTTTACTTTACCTTTCTATAAAATTGTATATTAATGTTTGGTTTGTTAAAAGTAATAACCAAAGATTAAACTGGTGAAAACAATAAAAATTATGGCAATCGTCAATTTTTACTGCCAGTAAGAGACTAACAGCTGAGAACGACCAACTTGCTAGCAAGAGCTTCGAGTGCAGTCAGACTTTTTTCCGTGAATGCTTGCTCCGCGAACCGCTTCTTCTCATGCATTTTTAGTCTAGTCTCCCTCACTCCTCTGTATGTGCACATTCCCACTAACTCACACACCCCCTCCCTACTGCCACTCACAACAGAGCCCACCTCTGACAAGCAGTTCCAAATCAATCTTTGTGTCGTCCAACAGAATCAGTTATATGGACATAAAAAAAAAAAAAACTTTGTATTACTGTAATAAATACATTAATCTTTCTAATGATACCCTGTTTATGTCTCAACTCCAAACTGTGCACAGGGAAGACACTACTAATAACGGGAGTATTACATTTACATTTTAGTCATTTAGCAGACGCTCTTATCCAGAGCGACTTACAGTTAGTGAATATTTTTTTTTATTTTTTTATACTGGCCCCCCGTGGGAATCGAACCCACAACCCTGGCGTTGCAAACGCCATGCTCTATCAACTGAGCTACATCCCTGCCGGCCATTCCCTCCCCTACCCTGGACGACGCTGGGCCAATTGTGCGCCACCCATGAGTCTCCCGGTTGCGGCCGGCTGCGACAGAGCCTGCGACAGAGCCTGGATTCGAACCACTGCGCCACTCAGGAGTACGATGAACATTGATACTGGAAGATTGTTCAGTTTGTCAGCGCGTGGCATGAAGGTACCGCTAGCAGCATTTTAGCCACAGTGTTATGTGCTAGCTGTTTAGTCCATTTGAAATCAGCATAAAAAGCATTTATGTAAGGATTTGGCAACTCGTTCTCATTCTGTGAAATAAGCATATTCTTATCCAGCTAGGACACTTGATTACAACATGAGCAGGTTAGCATGCTGTTCAAACAGGTGGAGATGGACAGGAAAGTGTTTAACAGTTCAACCTTGTTAGCTAGCTAATAGATCCAAGTTGGCTAGAATTTAAATACACTGCTCAAAAAAATAAAGGGAACACTTAAACAACACATCCTAGATCTGAATGAATAAAATAATCTTATTAAATACTTTTTTCTTTACATAGTTGAATGTGCTGACAACAAAATCACAACATTTATCAATGGAAATCAAATTTATCAACGCATGGAGGTCTGGATTTGGAGTCACCCTCACAATTATAGTGGAAAACCACACTACAGGCTGATCCAACTTTGATGTAATGTCCTTAAAACAAATCAAAAATTAGGCTCAGTAGTGTGTGTGGCCTCCACATGCCTGTATGACCTCCCTACAACGCCTGGGCACGCTCCTGATGAGGTGGCGGATGGTCTCCTGAGGGATCTCCTCCCAGACCTGGACTAAAGCATCCGCCAACTCCTGGACAGTCTGTGGTGCAACGTGGCGTTGGTGGATGGAGCGAGACATGATGTCCCAGATGTGCTCAATTGGATTCAGGTCTGGGGAACGGGCGGGCCAGTCCATAACATCAATGCCTTCCTCTTGCAGGAACTGCTGACACTCCAGCCACATGAGGTCTAGCATTGTCTTGCATTAGGAGGAACCCAGGGCCAACCGCACCAGCATATGGTCTCACAAGGGGTCTGAGGATCTCATCTCAGTACCTAATGGCAGTCAGGCTACCTCTGGCGAGCACATGGAGGGCTGTGCGGCCCCCCAAAGAAATGCCACCCCACACCATGACTGACCCACCGCCAAACCTGGTAATGCTGGAGGATGTTGCAGGCAGCAGAACGTTCTCCACGGCGTCTCCAGACTCTGTCACGTGCTCAGTGTGAACCTGCTTTCATCTGTGAAGAGCACAGGGCGCCAGTGGCGAATTTGCCAATCTTGGTGTTCTCTGGCAAATGCCAAACGTCCTGCACGGTGTTGGGCTGTAAGCACAACCCCCACCTGTGGACGTCGGGCCCTCATACCACCCTCATGGAGTCTGTTTCTGACCGTTTGAGCAGACACATGCACATTTGTGGCCTGCTGGAGGTCATTTTGCAGGGCTCTGGCAGTGCTCCTCCTGCTCCTCCTTGCACAAAGGCGGAGGTAGCGGTCTTGCTTCTGGGTTGTTGCCCTCCTACGGCCTCCTCCACGTCTCCTGATGTACTGGCCTGTCTCCTGGTAGCACCTCCATGCTCTGGACACTACACTGACAGACACAGCAAACCTTCTTGCCACAGCTCGCATTGATGTGCCATCCTGGATGAGCTGCACTACCTGAGCCACTTGTGTGGGTTGTAGACTCCGTCTCATGCTACCACTAGAGTGAAAGCACCCCCAGCATTCAAAAGTGACCAAAACATCAGCCAGGAAGCATAGGAACTGAGAAGTGGTCTGTGGTCACCACCTGCAGAACCACTTCTTTATTGGGGGTGTCTTGCTAATTGCCTATAATTTCCACCTGTTGTCTATTCCATTTGCACAACAGCATGTGAAATGTATTGTCAATCAGTGTTGCTTCCTAAGTGGACAGTTTGATTTCACAGAAGTGTGATTGACTTGGAGTTACATTGTGTTGTTTAAGTGTTCCCTTTATTTTTTTGAGCAGTGTATAAAGATTAGCTGGCTTCTCACCAACACATGGGCTTGTGCTTGAGAGATCGTTTATGAGACCTGTGTTAATTTTCTGTAATGAACTCACCTGCTACAAGAGCTTGGTCATTATTAGTGGATGTGAAATGTGCATTGTTCTGGCTAAATAAGTAACACAAGGGGCAGAAAGAAAGACTTGAAAGCCAGATCAGTGAATACTGCAAAATGGCAGGTTCAACTATTTTGATAAAATCATTTATTAGTGGGTCCTATGGTTGTGGAAGGCTGATATTTAGCCCAGGTATAATTTCACAAACCCTGATTATCGCTGACTGTTTGAAATGTAGTGTATTGACCTTTAAATTGCACAACAAAGCTTATTTTGAGAAAACATCTAGATATAAGTTAGAAAAAGAATGTAGATTTTATTTTTAGGCCTTATCGCGCCACCCTAATTGAAGTTTGAACAGTATCAAATCAAACTTTATTTGTCAAATGAGCCGAATGCCATGAAATGCTTACTTACAGGCCCTTAACCAGCAATGCAGTTCAAGAAATGTAAAGAAAGAGTTAAGAAAATATGTACCAAATAAACTAAAAAGTTAAAAATAATTAAAAACAATAAAATAACAATAACGAGGCTATATAAAGAGGGTACCGGTACCGAGTCAATGTGCAGGGGTACAGGTTAGTCGAGGTAATTTGTAGGGGTAAAGTGACTGCATAGATAGACAGCGGGTAGCAGTGGCGTAAAAAACAAATGGAGCGGGGGCGGGGGCATTTGATTAATTGTTCAGCAGTCTTATGGCTTGGGGGGATAGAAGCTGTTAAGGAGCCTTTTGGTCCTAGACTTGACGCTCCGGTACCGCTTACCGTGCGGTAGCAGAGAGAACAGTCTATGACTTGGGTGACTGGAGTCTGACACATTTTTGGGCTTTCCTCTGACACCGCCTAGTATATAGGTCCTGGATGGCAGGAAGCTCTTTTCAGTCTCCTTAGGGGGAAAAGGTGTTGTCTTGCCATCTTTTCGACTGTCTTGGTGATGTGGAGTTTGTTAGTGATGTGGACACCAAGGAACTTGAAACTCTCAACCCGCTCCACTACTCCCCTGTCAAGGTTAATGGGGGCCTGTTCGGCCAGCCTTTTCCTGTGGTCCACGACCAGCTCCTTTATCTTGCTCACATTGGAGGAAGAGGTTGTGGTCCTGAAACCACACTGCCAGGTCTCTGACGACCTCCCTATAGGCTGTCTCCTCGTTGTCGGTGATCAGGCCTACCACTCGTGTCGTCAGCAAACTTGATGGTGTTGGCCATGCAGTCGTGGGTGAACAGGGAGTACAGGAGGGGACTAAGCACACACCCCTGAGGGGCCCCAGTGTTGAGGATCAACGTGGCAGACGTATTGTTGCCTACCCTTACCACTTGGGGGCGGCCCGTCAGGAAGTCCAGGATCCAGTTGCAGAGGGAGGTGTTCAGTCCCAGGGTCCTTAGCTTAGTGATGAGCTTTGTGGGCACTATGGTTTTGAATGCTGAGCTGTAGTCAATGAACAGCATTCTCACATAAGTGTTCCTTTTGTCCAGGTGGGAAAGGGCAATGTGGAGTGCGATTGAGATTGCATCATCTGTGGATCTGTTGGGGCGGTATGCAAAAAGTGGGTCTAGGGTTTCTGGGATAATGGTGATGATGTGAGCCATGACCAGCCTTTCAAAGCACTTCATGGCTACCAACGTGAGTGCCATGGGGCGGTAATCATTTAGGCAGGTTACCTTCGCTTCCTTGGGCACAGGGACTATGGTGGTCTGCTTGAAACATGTAGGTATTACAGACTGTCAGGGAGAGGCTGAAAATGGCCCCGCGGCTTTGTGAATGTTAAACTGTTTAAAGGTCTTGCTCACACCGGCTACCGAGAGAGCGTTATCACACAGTCGTCCGGAACAGCTTGTGCTCTCATGCATGCTTCAGTGTTGCTTGGCTCGAAGCGAGCATAAAAAGGCATTTAGCTCGTCTGGGAAGCTCGTGGCTGGGTTTCCCTTTGTAGTCTGTAATAGTTTTCAAGCCCTGCCACATCCGACGAGCCGGTAGAGTAGGATTCAATCTTAGTCCTGTATTAATGCTTTGCCTGTTTGATGGTTCGTCAGAGGGTGTAGCGGGATTTCTTATAAATGTCCAGATTAGTGTCCCGCTCCTTGAAAGCGGCAGCTCTAGCCTTTAGCTCGATGTGGATGTTGCCTGTAATCAATGGCTTCTGGCTGGGATATGTACGTACGGTCACTGTGGGGACGACGTCGTCGATGCACTTAATGATGAAGCCGATGACTGAGGTGGTTTAATCCTCAATGCCATTAGATGAATCCCGGAACATATTCCAGTCTGTGCTAGCAAAACAGTCCTGTAGCATAGCATCCTGACCATTTCCATATTGAGCGAGTCACTGGTACTTCCTGTTTTGAATCAGGAGGATAGAATTAAGGTTAGATTTGCCAAATGGAGGTTTGTATGAGTCTCTGTGTGTGGAGTAAAGGTGGTCTAGTTTTTTTTCCTCTGGTTGCACGTGACATGCTGGTAGAAATTAGGTAAAACTAATATAAGTTTGCTTGCATTAAAGTCCCCGACCACTAGGAGCGTCGCTTCTGGATGACCATTTTCTTGTTTGCTTATGGCCTTATACAGCTTGTTGAGTGCAGTCTTAGTGCCAGCATCGGTTTGTGGTGGTAAATAGATGGCTACGAATAATATAGATGAGAACTCTCTTGGTAGATAGTGTGGTCTACAGCTTATCATGAGGTACTCTACCTCAGGTGAGCAATACTTTGAGACTTCTTTAATATTAGACATCGCGCACCAGCTGTTAGACACGCCCCTCGTCTTACCAGACGTAGCTTCTCTGTCCTGCCGATGCATGGAAAATCCCACCAGCTCTATATTATCCGTGTCATCGTTCAGCCACGACTCAGTGAAACATAAGTTTTACAGTCATTAATGTCCCGTTGGTAGGATATTCTTGATCGTAGATCATCCATTTTGTTTTCTAATGATTGCACGTTGGCCAATAGAACGGATGGTAGTGGAGGTTTACTCACTCGCCTACGAATTCCCAGAAGGCAGCCCGACCTCCGCCCCCCTTTTCTTCACGCAAATGACGGGTATTTGGGCCGTTCCCGAGAAAGCAGTATATCCTTCGCGTCAGACTCGTTAAAGAAAGAATCTTCATCCAGTGCGAGTTGAGTAATCGCTGTTCTGATGTCCAGAAGTTATTTTCGGTCATAAGAGACGGTTGCAGCAACATTATGTACACAATAAGTTTAAAAATAAGTTACAAACAACGCAAAAAAATTAATAAAAAAAATAGCACAGTTGGTTAGGAGCCTGTAAAACAGCAGCCATCCCCTCCGGCACCATTATATCAAACAATCAGAATGGAGAAAGCCCCATTAAAACCACTTATAATTTATTAGTTGCCGCCCTAGTGTCATTATTATTGAAAAACTAAATAGTCATAAATTAGAAATAATTGTGATATGATATTTTGTCCTCATTGCCCAGCCCTACTTAGATGCTAGTGGAGCTGATACGTGAAGCAGGCTAAACCCCCTCAGTAAATCAGAAGAGTAGACTTCACCTTTTTGGTGTCGGAATCCGCATCCCCCTCCATCCCCAGGTTCTCCTGGCCATCCCCAGCAGCCGCCGGCACACCACTCTTCTCCTTCTTGTGTTTCTTGTGCTTCTTGTGTTTCTTCTCTTTCTTGTGTTTCTTCTCCTTCTTCTTCTTCTTGTTTTTCTTTCCTCCAGCCTCAGTGTCTGAATTCTGAGATGGAGAGGACAAAGCAGAGTGACTATAAGTGACTAAGTATTTCATTAGCAACCCTCATTTAGTCAGTTGGGCCAAGAAGAGGGCATGATGATGCACTTCATTGGTTAAACTATTTTACAGTCGACCACCAAGTGAAGTCATCATGGTACTAGTGCCCAGAAACATGAGAATGCTTCCCCAACTAGCCACTTAGTTGAGTCAAACATTTATCTCACGTCGTACTATTAACAGACAGCAGCTATAAACTCACCTTGTTTGGAGAAGGGCTGCCAGAGCCATTGCTGGCCTTTTTGGCCAGGGGGGCTGATGGCGACCCACTGGCCGAGCGGCCTGGTGAGGGGAAGCCCGAGGCTGGGGCCGGCTGCTTCAGGGCTCCTGGTTTAGGGGAACCAGACGGTGACCTTGATGACACTCTCCTCATAGGCTGGGGGCTCTGAGAGGCTCTGATAGGGACAGACATAATACAAATGTGTGATATCTGGAACATACATCTAAAAATAGCGGTGTGACTTGTCAATGTGCAGCACACGCTTTGGCTTCAATAAGGCCAATTAGAAGCTGCTTACCTCTGGTTCTTGCGGGGCTCTGGTGTCCGGGACACCCTGCGGATTGCCCTGTTGCCGTGTGAGGGGGACGCCTGGCGCCTCTGGCCAGGTGGAGAGGTGCCGGAGGTATCAAAGCACCCCTGAGGACTAGCGGACCCCCGCATGGCTCGACCACGGTTGGCAGGGGAGCGGGAGAGGCGGTTACTGTGAGCAGCAGGGGGGGATCGAGTGTCCCGGCCCGGCCGGTTGGATGGGAGCATGGGGCTCCTCCTGTGTCGGAGGGGAGAGGTGGGGAGGGGAGGTGTGCGTCTCTTTTGGGGAGGGGGACTCCTGCGCTTCGGGGACCTGGAGGGACGGCGCTTGGGCATCGGGGATAGGCGTTTGGGAGGGGGAGACCCCGATAGCCTTCTCTTCTGAGGGCCCAGGGGAGTGGGGCTGTAGCGCCGCTGGATGGGGGGAGAGAACCGTCTGGGTGAGGGGGAGCGTCTGCGAGGAGGTGGAGAGGGAGACCTGGGGAAACAGAGGAGGACATATGAGCAGAGTTATTCTTTGATTCTCAGGTGTGGTGCACAATTTTGAAACAATGCTCAGTACTGAGGAAATCAAAGAAAAAAAAGTAGCAAAAGGTTTTTACCTGCGTCTAGGAGGAGAGGGAGATCTGCGACGTCGTGGGGGAGATCTGCGTCCTCCAGGGGAGGGGGAACGTCTTTTTCTGTAGCGGGAAAACAAACATTTAAATGAGGAATTGATGCTTGATGTGGGCAAAACGTCTAAACTTGAATCCTGACAGTAAGAGAGAGAGGGATAGGAGAAAGCGTCTATAGCTGACCTGGGGGAGCTGTCCCTGTGTCGTCTCCTGGGGGAGGAGGGTGAGCGACTGCGCCGCCTCCTGGCATCCCCGTTCCTCGCTGCTGGTCCCCCGGCCGGCCTCTTGGACCCATCGTCCTCTGATGAGGATGATGATCCAGTATCTGTTACCAATCGAAAAGTAGACAGCACATGTCATTTCCCAGTAGCAACATAAGGTGGCTGTTTAAAAGGAAAAACACCTAGATGTAGTTTTGGGCACAGCTTCAAGACCCACGAGACCAGGGTGCAACACGAGACTGACTGGGCTAGCAAAAAGATGGGGTGAGGGACAAATAAAAACGCTTATAACCTGAAGATGTCTCCCGATTCTGCCTGCGATACTGACGTCGCTGCTGCACAGGATCTGCGGTAGCCCCCTCTGAAACGTAAAGCAGTTAGTCTCTATTCGGTGATAGGGAAAACAGCTAAACACAAACACACAACAATTCACCCACACCCATGGTGCATCACACCACACAGACAAACACTAGAAGGCAGACCCACCTGACTCCGATGCTTCAGAATGCCTGGGTTTTGGAACAGGAGACTGTGAATCATTCCTTGATGCTGGTTTCTTCTTTGAACCTGAAAATCAATAAGACGTTTTAGGGCCCAAAGTCTTTCCAGCAAGATTCATTCACAAATACACTTGCTTGTATAACACCAATGGTTGAACTGATACAGGGATTTGAGATCATGAAAAATAAGTTTCCAGGTCATTGAGTTCAACAGGCAGAGTATCTTCTGGCTGTATAGACACAGCCATCCCTGGATGATTGTGTAGAGGAAAGGTATATGTGTATCACACACACAGATCATGTGACACAAGAAGTCACTGACGAGGTGAGGGAGTTCCACGTTTGAGATGATGAGGAAGTTTGATAGGGATGATGGGGCAAGTTCATTACAGCCCTTCGCAAACTCTGATAGTACTTAATGTACATTAGGGCAGGGATGAGAGGGTGGCATGTAGCTATATATAGAATGGAGAGAATTAAGAAAAGCCAACATACCAGCTGATCTGGGTGGGGAGGCTGAGGACCGGCCCTTTCTGGCCCGAGGGGAGGCAGAGCGTCGGGCCTTCCCAGAGGGGCTGCCATTGGGGGCTCTTCTCCTGGAGGGGCTGAGGGAGGGATCAGCTGCGTGGCCGCGGGGCTGTTTCCTGGGAGGTGTGGTTGACGTTCTCTTCATGGCCTTCTGAGACGAGCGAGACGTGGAGGAGTTGCTCCCAGAGGATGATTGGGAGCGAGAGCGCCGCCTATGGGACAAACAGAGCACAATCAACCACAACGCAGGTTTACATGCTGTTTGGTAAGGTGGCTAGTTAATGACAGCTTCAGTGATAGACACTTCTGCACTCTGCTACACTTGCATGGCCCTCCACTCACCTGCGGACAGGGGAGCGACTGCGCCTGTGTCTGGGGCCTGGGGGGCCACGTCTGGGGGGGCTCCTACGACGAGGGGACATCCGTCTCCTGGGGCTCGGCCTCCGGCGTGGGGAGTAAGATCTGGAGCGTGATTTGGGTCGTCTACGGGAGCGGGAATGGGAGCGAGAGTGGTGGCGGGGCCTGTCCCTCCTGCTGTCCTTCTCCCTGGGCTTGGGCCTCTCATCCTTTTTAGAAGCCTTATCTGGGGAGGGTTCTTTAACCTTCATCACCGAGTCAGGTACCACAACCACAGTGCCCGGCTTCAAGTCACTGGAAAATGAAAACATACCACAAATTTGATTAAATTATGTAGAAAATCTGGAATTACCAGTCAGGAAAAACCACATTACTGCATATTGCCAGATATAGTCGGTGCCCAAACCATCATCTTACCTGGTGGAGGAGGCCTCTTGAATGACTGGCTCAGGGACGGCGCTCTCAGAGGTGTCTGGCTCAGGCTGGGGCTCCTCAGTGCTCTGGGGTAGGGTAACACTGGCCAGGGTGACGGCTGGGGCTGGTGGTGGAGGGGAGCTGCTGGGACTGGGCTTACGCCTCGGGGAGCGGGAGTGACTGCGCTTTCTCTCCCTCTTCACTGGAGACCGTCGCCGTGGAGACTGTGACCTTGACTTCCTCCTGTACGACAACAAACAATGTGATAAGAACCAATGCCATATGAACCATCTTTAAACATTTCGATTGAGGTTGACTGCAAGGGATTTTATTGAATGTGATTTCTCTCACCTTCTGGGGCTCTCCCTTTCTCTGTTCTCTTTGTTTTCCTTTTCCTTCTTCTCATCAATCTTCTTCAGAGAGGCGAGCTTCTCCTGCTCAATCTGCAACAAAGCAAAATCTTATTGGTGGCATACACATACAGTGGGGAGAACAAGTATTTGATACACTGCCAATTTTGCAGGTTTTCCTACTTACAAACATGTAGCGGTCTGTAATTTTTATCATAGGTACACTTCAACTGTGAGAGACGGAATCTAAAACAAAAATCCAGAAAATCACATTGTATGATTTTTAAGTAATTAATTTGCATTTTATTGCATGACAAATATTTGATCACCTACCAACCAGTAAGAATTCCAGCTCTCACAGACCTGTTAGTTTTTCTTTAAGAAGCCCTCCTGTTCTCCACTCATTACCTGCATTAACTGCACCTGTTTGAACTCGTTACCTGTATAAAAGACACCTGTCCACACACTCAATCAAACAGACTCCAACCTCTCCACAATGGCCAAGACCAGAGAGCTGTGTATGGACATCAGGGATAAAAGTGTAGACCTGCACAAGGCTGGGATGGGCTACAGGACAATAGGCAAGCAGCTTGGTGAGAAGGCAACAACTGTTGGCGCAATTATTAGAAAATGGAAGAAGTTCAAGATGACGGTCAATCACCCTCGGTCTGGGGCTCCATGCAAGATCTCACCTCGTGGGGCATCAATGATCATGAGGAAGGTGAGGGATCAGCCCAGAACTACACGGCAGGACCTGGTCAATGACCTGAAGAGAGCTGGGACCACAGTCTCAAAGAAAACCATTAGTAACACTACGCCGTCATGGATTAAAATCCTGCAGCGCACGCAAGGTCCCCCTGCTCAAGCCAGCGCATGTCCAGGCCCGTCTGAAGTTTGCCAATGACCATCTGGATGATCCAGAGGAGGAATGGGAGAAGGTCATGTGGTCTGATGAGACAAAAATATAGGTTTTTGGTCTAAACTCCACTCGCCGTGTTTGGAGGAAGAAGGATGAGTACAACCCCAAGAACACCATCCCAACCGTGAAGCATGGAGGTGGAAACATCATTCTTTGGGGATGCTTTTCTGCAAAGGGGACAGGACGACTGCACCGTATTGAGGGGAGGATGGATGGGGCCATGTATCACGAGATCTTGGCCAACAACCTCCTTCCCTCAGTAAGAGCATTGAAGATGGGTCGTGGCTGGGTCTTCCAGCATGACAACGACCCGAAACACACAGCCAGGGCAACTAAGGAGTGGCTCCATAAGAAGCATCTCAAGGTGCTGGAGTGGCCTAGCCAGTCTCCAGACCTGAACCCAATAGAAAATCTATTGTCCGTATTGCCCAGCGACAGCCCCGAAACCTGAAGGATCTGGAGAAGGTCTGTATGGAGGAGTGGGCCAAAATCCCTGCTGCAGTGTGTGCAAACCTGGTCAAGACCTACAGGAAACGTATGATCTCTGTAATTGCAAACAAAGGTTTCTGTACCAAATATTAAGTTCTGCTTTTCTGATGTATCAAATACTTATGTCATGCAATAAAATGCAAATGAATTACTTAAAAATCATACAATGTGATTTTCTGGATTTTTGTTTTAGATTCCGTCTCTCACAGTTGAAGTGTACCTATGATAAAATTTACAGACCTCTACATGTTTTGTAAGTAGGAAAACCTGCAAAATCAGTTCAAATCAGTGTATCAAATACTTGTTCTCCCCACTATATTTAGCAGATGTTATTGCGGGTGTAGCGAAATGCTTGTGTTCCTAGCGCCAACAGTGCAGTAGTATCTAACAATTCACACAAATCTAAAAGTAAAATAATGGAATATTAGTACGAGCAATTTCGGAATGGCATTGACTAGAATACAGTATACACATATGAAATGAGTAAAACAGTATGTAAATATTATTAAAGTGACCAGTGTTCCACAGACAAGTACATGCGAGGCCAAAGTAGTAAAACACTGTACAAATACATGTGCCTGACAACAATGTGGTGATTGTGTCTCGTTGCTCACCTGTCTCTGTTTGATCTCCTCTTTCTTCTGCTCTAGGAAGGCGGAGGGGATACCGGCGATGTTGTCCTGAGCACTGAGCAGCAGAGGCCACAGGTCCCTCATAAACTCTCTGGCATTCTTCCCATTCAGGAAGCCGGTCAAGTTGATCTGCATCATCTTACTGTCCGGGTGCTGCAACACACACACCAAGGGGGAGAGAAAGACAACACACCAATTTAACATGGAGGGAGAACTCGCAAGAGCGAGGGGGGGGGGGGGGGTCTCGCTCAGGCGACTGCCTTCCCTTTGTTTCCTCACTAAGCTACACCTGCCTGCTAAATAACAGCCATCTTCATAACAAAAGACAATAGCTACAGTATATGACCCCTGGGCCCCAAAGCACACTGATTCATTGCAACCTAACAGACTTTTGTTGACTTGAGGCTGTGATTCCTTATCTCCACCCCATTAGTTATGTCATTGAAACCCGAAACTGAGAATAGCTGAGGGGAGACAAAAGTACTACATCATCCATGTAAAGGACCCCCACTGCATGCATCAAGGCTGACTTACCCTTCATAAAATATCCTCTAATAAAATCAATAAATATCTAACTATCCCACCCATCACCATTATTGTCATTAATCTTGATAAAAAATAACTAGTCTTCCTGTCCTGTTGTTCTCGGTCTCCCCACAGTCTATTCTTTGAGAGATTAACAGATATCCACAAAACAGAGTGCATCAAAACCCAACACTGCAAGTACAGTCCCGGTGTCTTCAGTGTGTCCCGCGGGATCAGTGGGTATGGAGCGCCCGAGTCTCCTGCAGAAAGAGACGCTCCCTTGGCTTGCTTCCGCCTCCCTACTGCTTGAGACTCAACCACCTTGAGTTTATTGTTATATCATTTATCTAAATTGCAAGAGACGAACAAGCAATAATGAGTGCACAAGACATTTGAAAGGGGTTTTATTTCAACATCTTAAGTCAAGAATGAAAGTTAGATACCCTTTTATCTCACTAATAATGATTAATAAGGCCTTTTATCATTACTGTGTTGTTACAGCATTTAGCTTAAAAACCCAACCAAACATAATTGTACAGAAATTAAATAAAATTGGTAAGACGTAGTTTAATGTATTTTTCCTCCCAGTATTAGGCTAAGTTCACTAAAACAGATAATACCTTTACGAGATTGCAGCAACAACTTAGTATGAATAAAAATCATCCTAGGGTTGCTGTGAGTCATGCACCATTCATAAAAAGAAGTTGTTAATGAACTATAAGGCTATCAATAAAGTTAAACATTTCCTTTTTCTATATCCAAGGTTTCATCCAGTGTATTATATCAAATTTCCCCTTGAAGTCATGTTTTATAGGCCAAACGCTACTTATGTGGAAAAAACCTCAAGGCAAGTATAACGCACAAGTATAATTTTAACCATGCGATTGGACTTCCAAAATTGAGGGCAATTTCAAGGAGGGGCAATGAAATCTAACAAACTGGAGGGAAAACCTGGACAACAAGTGCACTGACGCAACTTATCATTTATGCAGAATAGGGTCCATGTGCATTGCAATATTCCAAAAAATCACTTTGTGGGCTTGGTAATAATCTTTAAAGCACTGTTTTTCCCACAGCCCAGAATGAAGATACTACAGGATGTCAGTCTCTACTCCAATAAAATGAGGATCAATAGCCTAACAATTTCATTGTATCCTCTCAACTTTAAATCACCCTCCAAAGACAGGATACAGAGGACATATAAAGCCAAACTAGTGGCGCAATTCAAAGGTATATGGAGAAAATGGCATGGCATTGTCCAAGTGTTTCTATCACTAGCATGTTGATGTTGATCCCTGACCATAACTCACCTCAAACCACACACTGCATCAGGGAGTTGGGCTCAGTGACACTTTGGGCTCAGCAGAGAGCTAATAAGGTGTTGGTGCTATACTTCTGATGCAAGGTATAACATCGATATTGGTTCAGGCCTTTTGAATCATAAATCACATCATCATTAGAAAACTGTGGCACAAAGGCACTTCGTCACATATCACAGCAACAACTTTGTGTTATTCAAAATATGTATTTTTCTTTACACTGGACACCGGTGGTAGCTCTTTCCCCATCTGCATTTATATTGCGTATTTTCTAAGCAATATACTTTGTTACATCAACCTATCTTTTCCTCATTAAGTAAAAACATCTGATGTATGTACAAGAACAGGGAGGAATTGGAGTCAATATAATTACCTTTTCTTCCAGCTGGTTAAATATGAATTCTATGACGACATCATCCTCGAACCCCAGGATCTCCGTCACTCGCTGAGTGATCCAAGGTTTGATGACCTCCAGGTTCACCTTGGTCATATCCACCTAGGGGAGGAAGAATCAGGAAGAAGTTCAAAACAATTACCAACTCAAACCCATTACACACTTAAACCAAAATCAGGCAATACTGACGCTACAGCCAATACCATATATTTAGTTGTGGGGACATTGACACTGAGCATTCAATTAGAAGATGTGCTAAAAGCTGATGTGTTGATGTTGTTGTTTATCATACCTTCTTTTCCAGACATTCTGCAAATTTCAGTTGCTTTAGAAGTTTCTTCTGCTTGTTGCTGAAGCGATTGTCCTGTTCTGCACTTGTGCCCTGTATGAAACAAGTACAAAATGACAGTTTACATAACTACTAGCTATATTAACTATTTCAATGATAAATGTTTGTTCTTTATTCTGTGTACTTGTCCCTTTAGCAGAAACTAGCTACCTACGTCACGAGTCATACCATTGTAAAAAATAACGTTAGCTAGCTGCAACTTTCTAAACAAAACTTACTTGTATAGGTGTCAAACAAAGTATAAAATAAGTATCTAGCTAATCTAAACAGTTGTTATGGAGATAAACGTGGGTTTATGTCGCTAGCTTGCCAACTACACCGAACAAAAATATAAAAACAACATGTAAAGTGTCGGTCCCATGTTTCATGAGCAGAAATAAAAAATCCCTGAAATGGCCCATAAGCACAAAAAGCATATTTCGTTCAAATATTTGTTTACATCTGTTAGTGAGCATTTCTCCTTTGCCAAGATAATCCATCCACCTGACAGGTGGGGCATATCAAGATGCTGAGAAGTATTTCTGTCTGTAACGAAGCCTTTTAGTGTGGAAAAACTCATTCTGATTGGCTGCGCCTATGCCCTCCAAGGCCCACCAATGGCTGCACCCCTGCCCAGTCATGTGAAATCCATAGATAAGGGCCTAATTTATTTAAATTGACTGTTTTCCTTATATGAACTGTAACTCTGTAAAAATTTACAAATTGTTGCGTTTATATTTTTGTTCAGTCTAGGTGTGCAAATCTCGATGTGAGCTGAGGCCAGAGTAGACATGCCCCGCCTCGTCAGCCTAGAATTAGCCCAACCAATTTTGCAAACAACAAGTCTAATACTAGGTAACACATGTAGCTAGTTATCACCATAGCGTCATCAGTAATTAACATAATTTGAACTGGAAACACAACCTACGCAAAAATATAAATATCTCTAGCTAGGCTAACTAACAAGCCAGTTTAATGCAGCCGCCATCTTTACATTAGCTTCTAATTGCAGCGGAATGGCGCACGAGCTCGTCTGTCTACAATGCCACATATTTACAAACCAAAAGGAATGTACTATTCATTTGGAACACCATTCAACGATTTATAGTAAAATTGTAAATATCTTACGCGGAAGAATCCCGCGTCCATGTTATTAGCCGAGAAAGATGTAAAAGCTGGTGATAGTAGAGTCTGGCGAAAGACGTACTACCAAAACCCCAGAATACAATGCGCGACAGAGCTCCTCCTTCACAGCACGACGGAAGAAGGGAATGGGACGATGACGAGTTCAACTATTCTTTGCTGTCATAGTTTTACTTATATTTTTTTGAGCCACTGTTATCAACATACATCGACCTATAATATAAATATAATTAATTTGTTTGTGAATAGTATGTATATGTTGCAGCCTGATACCACAGATAGAACAATGAGCCAGATATTTCACCGAATGTATAAATGTGAGGCATCCGGTTGGCGTTCCACTCACTACCAAATATGGTAATGTGAGGAAGCCCATTGGCCGGCAGTGGGAGAACATCAATCAATCCAATTGTATTTATAAAGCCCTTTTTACATCAGCAGATGTCACAAAGTGCTATACAGAAACCCAGACTAAAACCCCAAACAGCAAGCATTGCAGATGTAGAAGCACGGTGGCTAGGAAAAACTCCCTAGAAAGGCAGAAACCTAGGAAGAAACCTAGAGAGGAACCAGGCTCTGAGGGGTGGCCAGTCCCCTTCTGGCTGTGCCGGGTGGAGATTATAACAGTACATGGCCATTAAGGCCAGATTTTTCTCCAAGATGTTCAAACGTTCATAGATGACCAGCAGGGTCAAATAATAATCACAGGGGTTGTAGAGGTTGCAACAGGTCAGTACATCAGGAGTAAATGTCACTTGGCTTTTCATAGCCGGGCATTTAGAGGTTGAAATAGCTGGTGCGGTAGAGAGAGAGAGAGAGAGATGAAAACAGCAGGTCTGGGACAAGGTAGCACGTCCGATGAACAGGTCAGGGTTCCATAGCCGCAGGCAGAAGAGTGGAAACTGGAGCAGCAGCACGACCAGGTGGACTGGGGACAGCAAGGCGTCATCAGGCCAGGTAGTCCTGAGGCATGGTCCTAGGGCTCAGGTCCTCTGGGATGGGAGGGAGAGAGGGAGAGAGAGAGAATTAGAGGGAGCATACTTAAATTCACACAGGACACTGGATAAGACAGGAGAATAACACCAGATATAACAGACTGACCCTAGCCCCCCGGCTCTGACAGGGGGGGTTGGGAGACACTGTGGCCCTATCCGACGATACCCCCAGACAGGGCCAACAAGGCAGGATATAACCCCACCCACTTTGCCAAAGCACAGCCCCCACACCACCAGAGGGATCTCAACAGACCACCAACCACCTACCCTGAGACAGGGCCGAATATAGCCCACAAAGATCTCCTCCACTGCACGAGCCCGAGGGAGCGACAAACCGGACAGGAAGATCATGTCAGTGACTCAACCCACTCAAGTGATGCACCCCTCCTAGGGACGGCATGGAAAGCACCAGTAAGCCAGTGACCCAGCCCCCGTAATAGGGTCAGAGGCAGAGAATCCCAATGGAGAGACAGGAACCGGCCAGGCAGAGACAGCAAGGGCTGTGTGTCGCTTTCCATTCACTTTCCTGGGCCAGACCTACTGAAGAGATGAGTCTTCAGTAAAGACTTAAAGGACGAGACCGAGTCTGCGTCTCTTACATGGATAGGCAGACCATTCCATAAAAATTGAGCTCTATAGGAGAAAGCCCTGCCTCCAGCTGTTTGCTTAGAAATTCTAGGGACAATATGTATCTTCTGCACAAACATGGATCGAGATGGATTTTGGCCAAATTCTGCTAATTTTCTCATCAATTAAACATTTGATCACCATACAGTTTTCTGTTTCCAAAACTAAAATCTGTAACAAACAGAGTGGACTGGGTTTTGTAAACTTCACCCTTTGCCAAAGTTTTAAAAAATTGCATTGTTTAGAAGGAATGCAAGGGTGAATTGAGTTATTGCACACGCGCACTTCGCAGAGCAGGCGTTCCCTAACGGAAATGTGCAAATAAATGCTAAAACGTGCCAATATGATCTCACTAGCTCGTGCTTGGCTATGCCTACCCCCTTGCTTGTTCTTCCCACTATGATTAATTTGCTCCCATTGCAAACGACAGGCTCTGGTCTATCTTGAGTTAGTAATAAAAATCTTTGCTGATACTGTAGGCAACTTTCTCTCAATGTTACATTGTAACAATCAACTGTAGGCCTATGTATCTTCTGCACAAATTATCTCTGGATTGCAGCCCAACATATTGCTAGATTTATGAAACCCTAATATGTATTTCAAAATGATTGAATGATATAGGCCTAGGTCTGTTCATCAACACACAGTAGGCCTACCGGTTAGCCTACTGCCATAATAAATCACCTAAAAGCAAATAACAAAACAACAGAATGAGGAAATTAAGAGATTTATTCAATTTCTGATCAAAGGTACACTGCAATTTTGTTCATTACTCACAAATATATTTCCAATTAGTTCTCAATTCAAAATAAGGCTTCAATTCTGAATTTATTTGGTACCCATTTGTACCCAAAATCACACTGCCTGTAAAGAAATATGGAGATGTTTAAAAATGTACTGAAGTTGTGTTGTAAAGGCAGGCCTTTTGTAAACATTGTGGATTTTATATTTCTTCTGATAGGTGACCCTATATCTCTCACTGCTCCTGTGTCATTTCACTGTGCCCACTATAGTACCCTAATGCAGCAGGCCAAGAAGGAAATCACTCTGCCCTCTATAGTACCCTAATGCAGCAGGCCAAGAAGGAAATCACTCTGCCCTCTATAGTACCCTAATGCAGCAGGCCAGGAAGGAAATCACTCTGCCCTCTATACTACCCTAATGCAGCAGGCCAGGAGGGACATTTCCTATTAGTACAACATTTGCTGATAACTTCTTTATTAAGGAAAAATCTACTTCCTACGACTGTGATATGTGGTTGTCTCACCTAGCTATCTTAAGATGAATGCCCTAACTGTAAGTCGCTCTGGATAAGCGTGTCTGCTAAATGATGTAAATGTAAATGTATATTAAATTAAACCCCTTGAGATACTGTAAACTGAAGGTAGGGTTATGACTAACTATATGTAAAATAATTTGCCTGAAGCCTATTTCCCCCAGAGGTTTAAGGCCTATGTTAAACCTGCTATGATTTTACAATTAAAACAACAGAAACTGAAGACATTGTTGACAGTATGGTTCCCTGAAAAGAGTAAAGCTGCTATTATGAGAGTGTGTGCTTGTTGCCTGTTGCTTGTGTGTGGTGTGTGTGTGTGTGTGTGTGTTTCTGTGGTGTCAGTGTCCACTGTTGTGGAAAGTTGAGTGGTTCTGGCTGAAGATGACAGGTTTGAAAATAGTCCCTTGTTTATTGGTGTAATATAATCCGAAGAGTCCTGGTTTGGAGATGATGCTAAGGAAAGAGGGTCTGTTGTGATAGGCAGACCCAGGCTGAAGCGGACTTAAGGGAATAGTGATTGGTAGGTCAGTCTCTGTGGGCGGGACCTGCTAGCTGACTGGCAGTCCGGCGTTGGTCCTCTTGTCACGGATGGAGCTCAGCATGTCTGAGACGAGCTCCTCAAGCCCATATGTGGACTTCCAGCCCCAATCTCTCCGTGCGTTGGAGTCATCAAACCTCTCCGGCCAGCTGTCCGCTGCACATCAGGGGACAATCATGCTCAAGAGTTTTTACACATCACAACTTAATAAGACCGAATGATGACATAATTCATGACTGGTGACCGTGTGAAAGACTGACATGCAAGGCTTACAATAGTACTAGAAAAATACAATGTATTTATTTATATCTACTTTAGACACTATGAAGGAGAAAACTTTCCATATACTTCTGCTATGGCTTATTTCAAATCACACATCTTGAGGTTAAATAACACTACACAGAACGTCAGACACACACCAATAGGCTGAACAATGAACATACCAATTGTCTGGCGGACAGAGTCAGGGTTATAGGTGACCTTGAGGTGGGGCAGGTGCTTGCGGATTTCCGTGGCCACTTCCTCAGGGGTGAAGCTCATGGCATCGATGTTGTATGTGCGCAGCGACAGCTGGCATTCCGGGGCCTGCATGAACTCCACAGTCGCACGGTGGCAGTCACCAACGTGCATCATCGGCAGACGTGTGTCAGCGCGTAAATAGCACTCGTGGTGACCCGTGCTGAGGGCATCGTGAAAAATCTGGACAGCATAGTCTATGGGAAAGGAGAGCAAAAATGTACACAAAATGTATTGGAACATATCCCTATAATGGTGGCATTAATACTTTAATAAATGATTAAATGATAAATATGGGTTACCTGTTGTTCCTCCCCCAGGGTGTGTGTTAGCTGAGATGACGCCAGGATAGCGTAGGCAGCGGAAGTCCAGTCCATACTTGTGATGAAGATACTAACAGAGAGAGTTTTAACACAATCAAAGGTACAGCAAATAACCATCAAAAGCATATTTCTGCAGCATACCTCTTAATCTCCCCTATCTTCTGTGTTAATTAATTTACTTTCTCTCTCTGAAAAAGATAAATGGCAAAACGCTCTCGCTTTTCTCTCTAGATTCCTCTGTCTATAAGAGAGGACCGGCAGGTTGTGTGTGTGCGTGCATGCGTGCAGGAGTGTGCATTTGACAGCGATGTGGTTCCATTAGGACTGCATTTATGACTGTTTGTGTGTGCATGTATGTATGTTTGTATGTGTGAACATAACAGATCACACCTCCCCCATCAGTTCGCCGTGCACTTTGGACACCCCATAAATGGTGCGAGGCCTCTGGACACACAGGTCAGGTGCAGGGTCACGGGGAGAAGAAGGGCCAAAGGCTCCGATGGTGCTGGGGACAAAGAGACGTAAACAGCTCTCCAGAGCCAGGTCCAGCACATTATGAAGACCTAGAAAGTACAGCAAAGAGAGAATCTTTAGACAAAAACATACAAAACATACAAAAAAGGGTGGAGCCCTGGATACTGTGGTAGCTTTTGTGTGTGATCCTGGAGCTGACCTGTGATATTGATCTTGCGTGCCAGGGCCACATTGGCCTCTCCCACAACACTGAGTAGAGCGCTGTAATGCACCAGCCAGGTGATGCGGTTATTCACCACCAACTCTCTGAGGTTCTTATAGTCCAACACATCAGCATACACAAACGGGCCTGAGGGAGAAGAGAAAAAAGAGACAAAGAGTTCGATAATACTTTTTGAGCATTAAATAGCATTAGCTGACGCACACCCAAAACATTTTGTAGAGGTGCTCACTAACAGAGAGTAAACTGTATAAAAAGAAAGAAAGTTGTACACTCTATATTTTCTCCCAAAAATGTAATGGGTAAACCAAATCAACATTTCAGGTTTACCCATTAAATTGTTGGGAGTATATATAGAGTGTGCAACTTTCTTTCTTTTTAAGACTTTGTGAGCAGAAATGCTTGGGAAACCTAATGTAGGGGTCATGTTTTTTTAATGCAGAAAATAAGAGGATTTGATAAGCGCACTATGGAGATTTTATGGACATAGAGATTAAGAGATAATTTTTGATCAGTTCAACAAAGAAAACGTACCACTTCTGCACACTTCTGGTGGAGGCTTCTTGATATCCGATAGGATGACGTTTTCTGTTCCGTACTGTTTCCTACACATTGATATTCAATTAATATATTCAATTTCAGTTCATTCCTGAATTGACTGAATGCAACTGGAGTGGACCCCAGAAGCCAAACTATCTATTTGTAGATGTTAAATGAGAATTCTACAATCTGGGGAAGATTCAGGCTATCAACATCTCTTACCCTTTGAAGAAAATACTGCTCTTTAGTTTTTTTCTCACCTCAGGATTTCCGCAAGTCCAACACCTAACTGTCCAAGTCCACCTTTCCATGAAGATAAAAATAATAATACAATGTGGAATTAATATGAATTTATAAAACAACACATCATCTCAATTGTTCATTTTGTATTTGTTGAAAGGTCTCAAAATAGAGAATATACAGGTGAAAATGTGATTCTTGTGTACAATATCAGAAAAAAATGGTCTGGATGTTTTTTCATATTCTGCTCCAACCAGGCTGTGACCTTTTTTTTGTTTTCACCAAAGCTTTATGTAGCCTACAGACAAAAACTGGCCTCAAGCTATTATTCTGCCAGTGGGCACTCGCTGGGGCCTTTTTGTCCCTAGCACAGTCTGCTCACAGCCTATTGTAGTGTGGGAAAATAGGATTGCCACTTACTGAACAGTGAAAACAACTCTAAATGACAAAAACGTGATTGACAACATGCCAATGCTGTTGTTAAAACATTTAAACAGATTTTAATATTTTCATAAACAAATCAAATCAAATGTATTTATAAAGCCCTTTTTACATCAGCAGATGTCACAAAGTGCTTATACAGAAACCCAGCCTAAAACCCCAAACAGCAAGCAATGCAGATGTAGAAGCACGGTGGCTAGGAAAAACTCCCTAGAAAGGCAGGAACCTAAAAAGAAACCTAGAGAGGAACCAGGCTCTGAGGGGTGGCCAGTCCTCTTCTGGCTGTGCCAGGTGGAGATGATAAAAACATATATAAATCGCATATAGCCTATGGTCAATAAAGAGTTATTTGCTATTTGAGATATAAACAAAAATACAATAAAAAAAAATTGTTTCAACCTGTGATGAGAATTCGTGGGTTCTCGGCAGGAGGTAGGTCAATGGAATCCTGACTGTTCCACCGGCTGATCTGTCGGGGCGACCAACTAAAGCCCCGGAATGGCAAACTACGCGGCCGGCTGCGACAGCCATGGCACAACAAGCCGAATAGAGCTGCAGCGGAGGGCACACAGACCCGCATACCCGATAGCATGTCGAGCTGCTGCCCCTGAGGAAAAAGTTCGATAAAAGACAAGAGGCTATGTTATCTATTTCATCCGTCAAATCAATCTTGCTCAGTAGGAAACTACACCACTTAGGTCATAGACACTATTCATTCTACGGATTTATGAAAAAAATGGCCATTTGAACAGTGCAATTAAAAACCGTTAGAATGTTTATGTCAGTTGACCATGTTAGGCTAAGGCCTATAGGTTAGTTATGTAACATTGTTGTTTACTTTAAAACATTAACTTTATAGTGTTCGTATTGACTGAAACACCACGCGTTATGTATCTGAAGAATGAATAGAAAATGAAATGTTACCTGTGTGCTGACAAAAACCTGGATTCTGTCTCTGTTGATCGTGCCAACCACTTGTTGACCAAACTGAAGCTTTACAGATCGCACAAGCGCATCCCACACTAGGCTAATAAACTAATTGATGTTAATTGCGATGATAAAACGTTGTTCCTGGTATTTAACTCTTAGAATTAAAAGATTAGGCTACCCTCCGATTGGTCACTGAATAAGCGCACGGACCATTCATTGGGTAACTAAACGGCTGAAGAAAGTAATGCTGGGATACGTGGTTTTCCTCGTTGTGATGTAAGAACGCGAGAAGTCGTGATTCAATTGTAAATTACTACAATATCCAGCCTGCAACACTATAGGACCTGCATGTGGGCAAACATGCTGACCAGCTGCTCACAGGGGATTTGTATTGTTGAAATGTTGAATGTTGAACAGGGCTGGAGTGTGGAGGCTTACGTCAGAGTCAGAGAGGGGATTTAAAAAAGTGACAAAAAGCATAATGCTACTAGCAGGCAATGGGGTGGGGGGTAGGCTAAGGTTAAAAGCACATCACATTAGTCCTAGGGTTGTTGGGGCGGATCATCACAATACAAATGGTGGCAAGAAATATGATATGAAATCATTAGAATTCCTCTTAATAAAATGTTTGCATATTGAGTACCTTGACATGTTTCAAATTATTCTAAAAACTGCAAAAATGTGAAGTGTTTGTATGTCAACAATAAAAATACACAATCCATTATTAAAACAAAGAGGATACAAAATAAATATGGACTTGCAGTGAAAACGCTATAAAAAAGGTAGGTACAAAAGATATGCATGTCACCATGAGAGAAAAGTATTTAACAGTGAGGAACTTTCACAGTATGTGATGCAATTTGATATTCTCTGGGATGGATAAATACCCATCTAATACATGTCCATAGGAGCAGAATTTTTCTCACAATAAAAGTCTTTATTTGTTCTCTTCCTCAACAGTCAATCAACCAGGATGAGTGTCTCTGTGTGTTCCATCAGTCCAGTGTGTCACTGTATTTTTCAACCCCACTTTATCAGTGTTTTCAACTTGCCCCACGGCACTCAATGACAAGGTTCCGCAACTCCACCTGAGCCTCCTCTAGGTGCACAGCATGTTGGGTCCATCGCAGGAACAGACCTGATACACATCCAGACAGAGGAATGTATTTATTTACATTATGTACTATTTCATCGCTTATTACTCATCAAATAAGAAATTGCCTTATTTGATACTTTTAATGTAATAACTATTCAAATTCACCCATCCAACATTTAGCATACTGTATGTCAGAGGGCTGCAGTAGGGGATAGCAGACTCAGATCTGCCTGTGGTACTGTGGCTACTGTAACTCACCTCTCCAGAGCTGCAGGGACTGTGGCTGGACGGAGGGCCAGATGGCCAGCTCAGTGGGCTCATACAGGGGGTTAGAGTAACGCTCCCTCTCACTGGGCCTCAGGAGGGACTGGAACAGACAGTGGGTTCTCTCCTTCACCCCTGCAGCACACCTGATGAGAGAGAGAGAAAGACGGAGAGAGAGAGAGAGAGAGAGAGAGGGATGAAGATTAAGTGGAAAGGTGCAGACAGATGGACAGACGGATGTGGATTTAGTGTGGATACACTATTCTTGGACAATGACTGTGGATATAAGAACAGCCTGAATGACTCACCTCTCCTGGTCGCTGTTGCAGAGGAAGGTGCCGTAGTCTGAGGCGTAGACCTCCATGGCCAGCCGCAGCAGCAGAGGCTCAGAGAAGCCCATGGCCAGCGGGAACTGTCGGGCCAGCTGCCACACACAGTCCAGCAGCAGCACGAACACTGGAGCCTCCAGCCTCAGACGGGCGTGGGAGTATGCCGAGTGGGCACAGCGCTGCTGGAACGGGTGACCTGCCTGCGGAAAGGAAGTACACACACACACACACAGATCAAAAAACACACATACACAGAGATAAAAACACAGATTAAAAACATACACACAGCTACAGCTAGTATAGCTAGTTAGTCATTGAATGTACACAGGGCAAATGTACACATTCCCAGCTTTCTATCTACAGTATATGACGGTTTGAAAAAAGGTGTGACATAAGGAGGAAGCGTGTGACTATTTTAGGGGTCTCACCTGTAGCCACTCCCTCTCCAGGAGGCCCAGGAAGCCGGCCAGTGTGCGTGTGTTGGGGTCCAGGATGAGCTGGGCCAAAGAGCTCACCAGAAGGGTGGTGTCTGTGCCTTCTGAGCCATGGACTAGAACAGAGTGGCCATCCCTGGCCAGAGCACCATAGAGGGTTACATAACATAGAACAATGTTACACGTAAACAGGATATTACACAATACAGGAAACAAAACATCAGCAATACAAAGCAAAACAACACGCATTATGACTCAGTGTAACACCATGCAGCACAGTGTTCAAATCAAATGTTATTGGTCGCATACACATACACGGAGTATAGCAAACATTAGGAACACATTCTTAATATTGAGTTTCCCTCAGAACAGCCTTAATTCGTTGGGGGCATGGACTATACAAGGTTTCGAAAGAGATCCACAGGGATGCTGGCCCATGTTGACTCCAATGCTTCCCACAGTTGTGTCAAGTTGGCTGGATGTCTTTTTTGTGTTCAAATCTGAGCTGTAGTCAATGAATAGCATTCTTACATAGGTATTCCTCTTGTCCAGATGGGATAGGGCAGTGTGCAGTGCGATTGCGTCATCCGTGGATCTGTTCGGTCGTTATGCAAATTGTAGTGGGTCTAGGGTGTCTGGTAAGGTGGAGGTGATATGATCCTTAACTAGCCTCTTAAAGCACTTCATGATGATAGAAGTGAGTGCTACAGGGCGATAGTCATTTAGTTCAGTTACCTTTGCTTTCTTGGGTACAGGAACAATGGTGGACATCTTGAAGCAAGTGCGGACAATAAACTGGGTTGGGAGAGATTGAATATGTCCGGAAACACTCCAGCCAGCTGGTCTGCACTAGCACTTGAAAACTCTAGGCGGCATTCTGCCTTCTCCCTACAGTTCTCAACCATTAGCTTCGCCCTCAACTGCCTCATATGAGCTACAATTCCGACGCTGTGTTTTAACATTTAGAAACGTCAATAATCATCGCTTGCGATACTTCTTTTGAAACATGGCCCTGATCGTTCATCAGCTAGAAAGAATCCTTCAAATAAAAAATATACACTTACTGTAGCAGTTTTGCACAGATTCATACAGCTATGGGTGCCTCCATCTGATAAAACTACACTCTTAGAAAAAAGGGTTCCAAAAGGGTTCTTCGGCTGTCCCCACAGGAGAACCCTTTTTGGTTCCAGGTATAACCCTTTCCGGTTCCAAAAGGGTTCTATCTGGAACCAAAAGGGTTCTACCTGCAACCAAAAAGGGCTCTTCAAAGGGTTATCCTATGGTGACAGCCGAAGAACCCTTTAAGGTTCTAGATAGCCTCATCTAATGACTCTTATGTATAATGTCATGGATGACTGTTCAAAACTATTTTTCCCAGTCAGAGATAATTTTTCCCCATGTTCCCAGTTGTCTTGAATGCACTGAAGTCGGAATTCTTCGTGAGCGGCGGTGGCCCGCGTCGAAGCGTGCGAAGAAGGCTGTTTAGCAAGGCGTTGGTATCCGTGACGTGGCTGGTTTTCCCTTTATAATCCGTGATTGACTGGAGTCCCTGCCACATACGTCTCGTGTCTGAGCCGTTAAATTGCGACTCCACTTTGTCTCTATACTGACGTTATGCCTGTTTGAATGCCTTACGGAGGGCATAGCTGAACTGTTTGTTCTCATCCATGTTCCCAGTCACCTTGCCGTGGTTAAGTGCGGTGTTTCATGCTTTCAGTTTTGCGTGAATGCTGCCATCTATCCACGGTTTTTGGTTTGGATAAGTTCTAATTGTCACAGTGGGAACAACATCCTCTACGCACTTCATGATGAACTCAGTCACCGAGTCAGTGTATACGTCAATGTTATTCTCAGAGGCAACCCATAACATATCCCAGTCCGCGTGATCAAATCAATCTTTGAAGCATAGATTCTGATTGGTCAGACCAACGTTGAACAGTCCTTACCACGGGTACTTCCTGTTTAAGTTTCAGCCTATAGGAAGGGAGGAGCAGAACAGAGGCATGATCTGATTTGCGGAAGGGAGAGTGGGGGAGGCCTTGTAGCCGTCTCGAAAGGGGGAGTAGCAATGGTCAAGAATTCTTGATGAGTGAGTAGTGCAGGCAATGTGTTGATAAAACTTTGGTAGTGTTTTCCTCAGATTTGCTTTAATAAAGTCCCCAGCTTCAATAAAAGCGGCCTCAGGATATATGGTTTCCAGTTTGCACAAAGTCCAGTGTAGTTCCTTGAGATCCGTCGCGGTGTCGGCTTGAAGGGGAATATACACGGCCTTGAAAGATGACAGAACAGAATTCCCTCAGAATGTAATGCGGTCGGCATTTGATAGTGAGGTATTCCAGATCGGGTGCACAAAATGACTTGAGTTCCTGTATGTTACCACAATCACACTATTTGTAGTTAATCATGAAACATACACAGAGAGCCTTTCTTTTTCCCGGATAGTTCTTTCTTCCTGTCTGCACGAGAACCCCGCTGGCTGTATGGACGGGGACAGTATATCCGGAGAGAGCCATGATTCCGTGAAACAGAGTATATTACAGTCCCTGATGTCTCTCTGGAAGGAGATGCTTGCCCTGAGCCTGTTTACTTTATTGTCCAGGGATTGAACATTAGTGAGTAATATACTCAGAAGCGGTGGATGGTATGCACATCTCCTGAGTCGGACTAAAAGCACACTCCGTATTCCTCTTCTCTGTCGGCGGCGTCTTGGAGAAGCCCGTTACATGATGATGTATGATTATGAAAACATTACATTAAGGGTTATGAGAGTAGAGTGCACATCTACCTCTCCACACACTCTGCCAGTAGGCCTGCTGTGGCCAGGGCAGTGTGGACGTGAGAGAGCCACTTGGAGTTCTCCAGCTTGCTGAGCCAGCGGTCCACACTATGGGAGTCATCCCCACAGGCCTCCACCAACTTTATCAGACTCTCCTGGAGCACCTTCCCCCTTGGGACACATACACAGACACAGACACACACACACACAAATATAACTATTCAGTCAACAGGCATAGAGCTATTCAGCCAAATAATGTGGCATTGTTTGGCATGACAACAAAAAATGGGTTGGCTAAAGCAGAAACACCCTGGCAACTAGGTTAGACATACGTAGCCACAAACAAATGAAAAAACTCACACACAACAGGCAAACACACAGACAGACACCTTTCCAGTTGGCGGTGCAGTCTCTTCCAGCAACTGTAGCTAGATTTGGATTCAAACCCGCCCCCTGTCATCCTGGCCTGCTGAGCCTGTTGGTTGGAGCGGGTGTCAATGATGTAACCCAGCCCAGAGCCGTCAATCACCGCCTGGAGGAGGAGCTCATCCTCTCTACAGCGCTTCCTATTGGCTCCTGTCAGGGGTTGGCTGCTGCGCATGATGACCTGGGAAACACAATTTTGCTATTTGATACAGTAGATGCCATCTAATGTCAAACAACATTAATTACTGTACATTGTAGTGACATGAAAGTATCTGTGTGTGTGATTGTAAGTGCATGTATGTGCGTGTGCATGTGTGGATTCATGCGTATCTCACCATGCCATTTTTCCTGTGGTAATAACAGAGGACAGGGAAGCGGCCCCCATGTCTGAACTTGGCCACCTTCACCAGTGTCTCATCATCTACGGAGTGAGGGACAATAACAGCAGGAGGGTAGGAGGGACACACAGAGTAGTCCCTGTTCACATGACTCAGTCTCCACCTGTCCTGCTGCGGAGAGGAGAGTAGGAAGACACAACAACAGATCAATAGATGCATATTGTTCACTGTTCTACAGTATATAGAACCTTTTTGAGGGCCCTTTTTGGTTCTAAATCGTATGATTTCTTCTAACGGTGCCCACACCCACTCTCTTGATTCTAATAGGGTCTCTTGACATAGCGATCCCCAGGTTATTTGTTTTAGAACTAGAGTAAATTCACCATGACAAGGGCTCCACAGGAAGCTGACTATATAGATGAGCATGGATTCATGTCGTTTCTCACATGTACTGTTTACACAGTCATAATTCAGTAAGTGGAACCACATGTACAGTGAGGGAAAAAAGTATTTGATCCCCTGCTGATTTTGTACGTTTGCCCACTGACAAAGACATGATCAGTCTATAATTTTAATGGTAGGTTTATTTGAACAGTGAGAGACAGAATAACAACAAAATAATCCAGAAAAACGCATGTCAAAAATGTTATAAATTGATTTGCATTTTAATGAGGGAAATAAGTATTTGACCCCTCTGCAAAACATGACTTAGTACTTGGTGGCAAAACCCTTGTTGGCAATCACAGAGGTAAGACGTTTCTTGTAGTTGGCCACCAGGTTTGCACACATCTCAGGAGGGATTTTGTCTCACTCCTCTTTGCAGATCTTCTCCAAGTCATTAATGTTTCGAGGCTGACGTTTGGCAACTCGAACCTTCAGCTCCCTCCACAGATTTTCTATGGGATTAAGGTCTGGAGACTGGCTAGGCCACTCCAGCACCTTAATGTGCTTCTTCTTGAGCCACTCCTTTGTTGCCTTGGCTGTGTGTTTTGGGTCATTGTCATGCTGGAATACCCATCCACGACCCATTTTCAACGCCCTGGCTGAGGGAAGGAGGTTCTCACCCAAGATTTGACGGTACGTGGCCCTGTCCATCGTCCCTTTGATGCGGTGAAGTTGTCCTGTCCCCTTAGTAGAAAAACACCCCCAAAGCATAATGTTTCCACCTCCATGTTTGACGGTGGGGATGGTGTTCTTGGGGTCATAGGCAGCATTCCTCCTCCTCCAAACACGGCGAGTTGAGTTGATGACAAAGAGCTCCATTTTGGTCTCATCTGACCACAACACTTTCACCCAGTTCTCCTCTGAATCATTCAGATGTTCATTGGCAAACTTCAGACGGGCCTGTATATGTGCTTTCTTGAGCAGGGGGAGCTTGCGGGCGCTGCAGGATTTCAGTCCTTCACGGCGTAGTGTGTTACCAATTGTTTTCTTGGTGACTATGGTCCCAGCTGCCTTGAGATCATTGACAAGATCCTCCCGTGTAGTTCTGGGCTGATTCCTCACCGTTCTCATGATCATTGCAACTCCACGAGGTGAGATATTGCATGGAGCCCCAGGCCGAGGGAGATTGACAGTTATTTTGTGTTTCTTCCATTTGTGAATAATTGCACCAACTGTTGTCACCTTCTCACCAAGCTGCTTGGCGATGGTCTTGTAGCCCATTCCAGCCTTGTGTAGGTCTACAATCTTGTCCCTGACATCCTTGGAGAGCTCTTTGGTCTTGGCCATGGTGGAGAGTTTGGAATCTGATTGATTGATTGATTCTGTGGACAGGTGTCTTTTATACAGGTAACAAACTGAGATTAGGAGCACTCCCTTTAAGAGTGTGCTCCTAATCTCAGCTCGTTACCTGTATAAAAGACACCTGGGAGCCAGAAATCTTTCTGATTGCAAATCAATTTATATAATTTTTGACATCGTTTTCTGGATTTTGTTGTTGTTATTCTAATCAGAATGGCGCCGTTTTACAGCCCTCTAACCAATTGTACTATTATGTGTGTTTTTCCGCGTTATTTGTAATTTATTTTGTACATAATGTTTCTGCCATCGTCTCTTATAACCAAAAAGAGCTTCTGGATATCAGGACAGCGATTACTCACCTCGTATTGGACAAATAATTTTTCTACAACGAGGCGGCCGCGAAGGATATCCTACAGACACCCGACAAGGCCCAAATCCCTGTCATTCGCATGAGGAAGAGACGGAGATATCGTGGACGTAGGTCGGGGTGCCTTGTAAGGATCCGACGGCGAGCGAGTAAACTGCCGCTCCCATCAATCCTATTAGCCAATCTTCAATCATTGGAAAATAAATTGGATGACCTAAGATTACGGTTATCCTACCAACGGGACATAAAAAACTGTAATATCTTATGTTTCACCGAGTTGTGGCTGAACGACGACATGGATAACATACAGCTAGCGGGCTATACGCTACATCGGCAGGATAGAACGGCTGACTCCGGTAAGACAAGGGGTGGCGGTCTGTGTATATTTGTAAACAACAGCTGGTGCACAAAATCAAATACTAAGGAAGTCTCGAGGTTTTGCTCGCCTGAGGTAGAGTATCTTATGATAAGCTGTAGACCACACTATTTACCAAGAGAGTTTTCATCTATATTTTTCATAGCCGTCTATTTACCACCACAAACCAATGCTGGCATTAAGATTGCACTGAATGAGCTGTATAAGGCCATAAGTCAACAGGAAAATGCTCATCCAGAGGCAGCGCTCCTAGTGGCCGGGGACTTTAATGCAGGGAAACTTAAATCCGTTCTACCTAATTTCTACCAGCATGTTAAATGTGCAACCAGAGGAAAAAAAACTCTAGACCACCTTTACTCCACATACAGAGACGCATACAAAGCTCTCCCTCGCCCTCCATTTGGCAAATCTGACCATAACTCTATCCTCCTGATTCCTGCTTATAAGCAAAAACTAAAGCAGGAAGCACCAGTGACTCGGTTAATAAAAAAGTGGTCAGATTACGCATATGCTAAGCTACAGGACTGTTTTGCTAGCACAGACTGGAACATGTTCCGGGATTCTTCAGATAGCATTGAGGAGTACACCACATCAGTCACTGGCTTCATCAATAAGTGCATCGATGATGTCGTCCCCACAGTGACCGTACGTACATACCCCAACCAGAAGCCATGGATTACAGGAAACATCCGCACTGAGCTAAAGGGTAGAGCTGCCGCTTTCAAGGAGCGGGACTCTAACCCGGACGCTTATAAGAAATCCCGCTATGCCCTCCGACGAACCATCAAACAGGCAAAGAGTCAATACAGGACTAAAATTGAATCGTACTACACAGGCTCTGACGCTCGTCGGATGTGGCAGGGCTTGAAAACTATTACAGACTACAAAGGGAAGCACAGCCGCGAGCTTCCCAGTGACACAAGCCTACCAGACGAGCTAAACCACTTCTATGCTCGCTTCGAGGCAAGCAACACTGAAGCATGCATGAGAGCACCAGCTGTTCCGGATGACTATGTGATCACGCTCTCCGTAGCCGATGTGAGTAAGACTTTTAAGCAGGTCAACATTCACAAGGCCGCAGGGCCAGACGGATTACCAGGACGTGTACTCCGAGCATGTGCTGACCAACTGGCAAGTGTCTTCACCAACATTTTCAACATGTCCTTGACTGAGTCTGTAATACCAACATGTTTCAAGCAGACCACCATAGTCCCCGTGCCCAAGGACACTAAGGTAAGCTGCCTAAATTACTACCGACCCGTAGCACTGACGTCTGTAGCCATGAAGTGCTTTGAAAGGCTGGTCATGGCTCACATCAACACCATTATCCCAGAAACCCTAGACCCACTTTTTGCATACCGCCCCAACAGATCCACAGATGATGCAATCTCTATTGCACTCCACACTGCCCTTTCCCACCTGGACAAGAGGAACACCTACGTGAGAATGCTATTCATTGACTACAGCTCAGCATTCAACACCATAGTGCCCTCAAAGCTCATCACTAAGCTAAGGATCCTGGGACTAAACACCTCCCTCTGCAACTGGATCCTGGACTTCCTGACGGGCCGCCCCCAGGTGGTAAGGGTAGGTAACAACACATCTGCCACACTGATCCTCAGCACGGGGGCCCCTCAGGGGTGCGTGCTCAGTCCCCTCCTGTACTCCCTGTTCAACCATGACTGCATGGCCAGGCACGACTCCAACACCATCATTAAGTTTGCCGACGACACAACAGTGGTAGGCCTGATCACCGACAATGATGAGACAGCCTATAGGGAGGAGGTCAGAGACCTGGCCGTGTGGTGCCAGGATAACAACCTCTCCCTCAACGTGACCAAGACAAAGGAGATGATTGTAGACTACAGGAAAAAAAAGAGGACTGAGCACGCCCCCATTCTCATCGACGGGGCTGTAGTTGAACAGGTTGAGAGCTTCAAGTTCCTTGGTGTCCACATCACCAACGAACTATCATGGTCCAAACACATCAAGACAGTTGTGAAGAGGGCACGACAAAGCCTATTCCCCCTCAGGAGACTGAAAAGATTCGGCATGGGTCCTCAGATCCTCAAAAAAGTATACAGCTGCACCATCGAGAGCATCCTGACTGGTTGCTTCACCGCCTGGTATGGCAACTGCTTGGCCTCCGACCGCAAGGCACTACAGAGGGTAGTGCGTACGGCCCAGTACATCACTGGGGCCAAGCTTCCTGCCATCCAGGACCTCTATACCAGGCGGTGTCAGAGGAAGGCCCTCAAAATTGTCAAAGACTCCAGCCACCCTAGTCATAGACTGTTCTCTCTGCTACTGCACGGCAAGCGGTACCGGTGTGCCAAGTCTAGGTCAAAAAGACTTCTCAACAGCTTCTACCCCCAAGCCATAAATGCACTGTTGGTTAAGGGCTGTAAGTAAGCATTTCACTGTAATGTCTGCTCCTGTTGTATTCGGCGCATGTGGCCAATAAAATTTGATTTGATTTGATTTGATATCTCTCACTGTTCAAATAAACCTACCATTAAAATTATAGACTGACCATTTCTTTGTCAGTGGGCAAACTTACAAAATCAGCAGGGGATCAAATACTTTTTTCCCTTACTGTAATAGGCTACAGGGCTGGTATTGTGGCCTCAGCAGGATGAGTTTATCTGAATCTTAACCCCTCCATTTGGTCTCCCCAGTGACACATGAGCATGTTGCTCCATTCCCAACCCCCTCTGTGGACTTCCTGATCTGGACTTCCTGATCCCAGCACTCTGTTTTCCTGTCACATGTGAAGACCTGGATTATACACTGAGTATACCAAACATTAGGAACACCTTCCTAATATTGAGTTGCACCCCCCGCTGTTGCCCTCAGAACAGCATTCGTTGGGGTATGGTGTCGAAAGTGTTCCACAGGGTGTCAAAAATGTTCCACAGGGATGCTGGCCCATGTTGACTCCAATGCTTCCCACAGTGTTAAGTTGGCTGGATGTTCTTTTGGTGGTGGACCATTCTTGATACACACGGGAAACTGTTGAGCGTGAAAAAGCGAACAGTGTTGCAGTTCTTGACACAAACAGGTGCGCCTGGCACCTACTACCAAAGCCTGTTCAAACGCACTTAAATGTTTTGTCTTGCCCATTCACCCTCTTGAATGGCACACATACACAATCCATGTCTCAGTTGTCTCAAGGCTTAAAAATCCTTAATAACCTGTCTCCTCCCCTTCATCTACACTGATTGAAGTGGATTTAACAAGTGACATCAATAAGGGATCATAGCTTTCATCTGGATTCACCTGGTCAGTCAATGCCATGGATGTTTTGTATACTCTTAATGTTTGTGATGATTGGGTCTGATTGTTGCATTTACTCTAAAACGACAGGATATCTATGTGTGTGTGTTTGTGTTGCACTCACTAGTTCCTCCATTTGAGCGTAGTCCTGTTCAGGCGATGAGAGGCCCCACTGGTCCTGCAGACTGAGTTTAAGCGGTCTGTAGAAGAATGGATACATATCGGACACACTGTCCAGAGAAGAGAGAGACTAGAGAGAGAGAGAGAGAAGGAGAGTGTGGGGAGGGGGGACAAAAAGTTATGAGTGTCACAAAAAGTTACTGACTAGTCAAAACAAAAAGCAAAACACAATTTGTAATGTTGTAAAACCTTTATGACTGTAATACTAGTTTTTACATGCTGGGTATGTACAGTGGGGGAAAAAAGTATTTAGTCAGCCACCAATTGTGCAAGTTCTCCCACTTAAAAAGATGAGAGAGGCCTGTAATTTTCATCATAGGTACACGTCAACTATGACAGACAAAATGAGATTTTTTTTCCAGAAAATCACATTGTAGGATTTTTTATGAATTTATTTGCAAATTATGGTGGAAAATAAGTATTTGGTCAATAACAAAAGTTTCTCAACACTTTGTTATATACCCTTTGTTGGCAATGACACAGGTCAAACGTTTTCTGTAAGTCTTCACAAGGTTTTCACACACTGTTGCTGGTATTTTGGCCCATTCCTCCATGCAGATCTCCTCTAGAGCAGTTATGTTTTGGGGCTGTCGCTGGGCAACACGGACTTTCAACTCCCTCCAAAGATTTTCTATGGGGTTGAGATCTGGAGACTGGCTAGGCCACTCCAGGACCTTGAAATGCTTCTTACGAAGCCACTCCTTCGTTGCCCGGGCGGTGTGTTTGGGATCATTGTCATGCTGAAAGACCCAGCCACGTTTCATCTTCAATGCCCTTGCTGATGGAAGGAGGTTTCACTCAAAATCTCACGATACATGGCCTCATTCATTCTTTCCTTTACACGGATCAGTCGTCCTGGTCCCTTTGCAGAAAAACAGCCCCAAAGCATGATGTTTCCACCCCCATGCTTCACAGTAGATATGGTGTTCTTTGGATGCAACTCAGCATTCTTTGTCCTCCAAACACGACGAGTTGAGTTTTTACCAAAAAGTTATATTTTGGTTTCATCTGACCATATGACATTCTCCCAATCCTCTTCTGGATCATCCAAATGCACTCTAGCAAACTTCAGACGGGCCTGGACATGTACTGGCTTAAACAGGGGGACACGTCTTGCACTGCAGGATTTGAGTCCCTGGCGGCGTAGTGTGTTACTGATGGTAGGCTTTGTTACTTTGGTCCCAGCTCTCTGCAGGTCATTCACTAGGTCCCCCCGTGTGGTTCTGGGATTTTTGCTCACCGTTCTTGTGATCATTTTGACCCCGCGGGGTGAGATCTTGCGTGGAGCCCCAGATCGAGGGAGATTATCAGTGGTCTTGTATGTCTTCCATTTCCTAATAATTGCTCCCACAGTTGATTTCTTCAAACCAAGCTGCTTACCTATTGCAGATTCAGTCTTCCCAGCCTGGTGCAGGTCTACAATTTTGTTTCTGGTGTCCTTTGACAGCTCTTTGGTCTTGGCCATAGTGGAGTTTGGAGTGTGACTGTTTGAGGTTGTGGACAGGTGTCTTTTATACTGATAACAAGTTCAAACAGGTGCCATTAATACAGGTAACGAGTGGAGGACAGAGGAGCCTCTTAAAGAAGAAGTTACAGGTCTGTGAGAGCCAGAAATCTTGCTTGTTTGTAGGTGACCAAATACTTATTTTCCACCATAATTTGCAAATAAATTCATTAAAAATCCTACAATGTGATTTTCTGGATTTTTTTCTCTCAATTTGTCTGTCATAGTTGACGTGTACCTATGATGAAAATTATAGGCCTCTCTCATCTTTTTAAGTGGGTGAACTTGCACAATTGGTGGCTGACTAAATACTTTTTTCCCCCACTGTATGTACAGCCTGTGTGTATTCTACCACCCTGCTACTGTACCTCAATGGAACGGGCAATGTTCAGGCACTCCTCCATGCCTGGAATGTCCAGCTGGAGAACACACAGGTCCTTACACTTGAGGGTGATTGTTCCAGAGGACCCCGAAGGCCTTTATATGAAACACACACACACATCATTATAGGGCTTCTGTCTAACCCTACTTATTACACTCAACACTCCCCCTCAGGGTTCCATGATCTGGGCTGCCTCCCCTCCAACAAAAGCATTTAAAAAAGCAGCAAGTCCAACCCAACCAGCTGGTGGGACGGGAGTTTCTCTCAGTGACAGCATGTGAGGCCCACATTTCCCCTCCATATCAACTCTTTGTCTGCACTACACCTCCAAATGTACTGTCTGAACCAGATTCATAACTGCAGTAAATGAGCACTGAAATTCCTACCCTTGGTTCTTTGCAGTTCATGACAAAAAGCATATGGAGAGGATTCAAAGAGAGGGCGTGTGAGACAGAGATTGAGCGAAGGTGGGATTGGTTATTATTCCTGCAGCATCAGAATCCTCTGCTATTTTCGCACAGTGCTGCGGACATGGATAGCAGCACACTGCAAAACGCACAAACACACACAGACTCACACACAAGGTGTCACACTTATGTCAAACCTTTGACTCTGGCCTGTACTAGAGAACAGGCTGGAATAGCCCAACAGGTTTTCCACACTGGGCATGGAGGGAGAGACAGTGAGAAGGGGGCTGAGGTTAATGAGACATGTTTATCATACAGGCTACACAGGCACCCTGGCCCAACATTCAGACTGATGTAGGCTAGGAAAATGTTAACATGTTAAACACTTTATAAGTAACTATTAGTATCCCCAATGTGACAATTGGCTGTCAGCACATTGAAATATGGGGTTCAAGCAACATGGCTGCAGTTCTGAATTAGGCTATAAGGTCCATCATTACGCCTTTGAATATGGCATTGGTATACTTTCATGAACACGCGGTCACCTATTGGCCCCACCCCACTTACCTTTTCTCTATGGCATCGATGTTTCTGAGAAGTAACAAGACTAGCCGCGAGCTGTCTCCATCTCTGTTTGAGAAGAGGAGGTGGTGGCCGGTGACACATAACGTTCCTTTCATCGGTGGATGAAACGGGCGTCTCAGAACGACATCTTCAACGTTAGCAGTCTTTATATGCTCTGAAAACTCCATCGCATCAGCGCAAGATGACAAGAAGGTCACGGAGATCCAAGTCGCGCGCGTCAGAAAAAGTCTTCACAGCTTCTTTTCCGCTTCTGAATCTTGTTTAGGCTACTTATCTGAATTATTTAAATTAAACCACTTGTTCTTGTCTCATGGAAAAGGGGCGTGACACGGTCCAGATGTTGACTGTAGCTTGCTGTAGCCTACAGCGAGGCGAGCCGTTTGTTTGAAGATAATAACCTCTTCATAGCAGTTCTTTCCTTTCCTTTCCTTTCGTTTTCTCATTAACCCACCCTGCCTGTGGGGACACCTCTCTAAGCCATTCTTGGCTGCTTTCCAACCAGCCCCTAAAATGTGAAAACATCTTGTGGTTACAAAAGAAGGAAGTGAGCGTTTCCTGAAAGCAGTTGTGAGAGGACACAAAGTCTAATATCCTATCTATACAAGGGCAATTCATTTCAAAATGCCTATTAGTGTGTAGCCTAATATGGGGTTTGCATTTTGTAGATAATCTTTCAAGCTGTTGTTGAACCATCCCAGACTAGTTAGTTTACATTACTCATGTAGTAGCCTCAGCTTCCAGCCAGGTAGAGGCTACTCCTCTAGTAACTTCAGGTCACTAACCTAAAGCAAGACACTGTATTGGTCAATGTTTGTCAATACCCTTCTCATTTCATGTGTGTGACCTAGTCTTTGATTTAAATATATATACACTACCGTTCATAAATTTGGGGTCACTTAGAAATGTCCTTGTTTTCGAAAGAAAAGCAAAAAAAATGTGTCCATTAAAATAACATCAAATTGATCAGAAATACAGTGTAGACATTGTTAATGTTGTAAATGGATATTGTAACTGGAAACGGCAGATTTATTTATGGAATACAGTGGGGGAAAAAAGTATTTAGTCAGCCACCAATTGTGCAAGTTCTCCCACTTAAAAAGATGAGAGAGGCCTGTAATTTTCATCATAGGTACACGTCAACTATGACAGACAAATTGAGGAAAAAAAATCCAGAAAATCACATTGTAGGATTTTTAATGAATTTATTTGCAAATTATGGTGGAAAATAAGTATTTGGTCAATAACAAAAGTTGTTTGAAAATTACCACTAGATGGAGACATTGCCTCAAATTAAGACATGCCAATCCTATTTCTAAGGTGTTTGTCAGCTGTTCATCTGTCAGGAAGACCATGAACTGATTACATTATGTTTGTGTATAGCTACCTGTACCTGCCCTATTAAACATGATTTGGAATGGCTACACCACAATATTATCTGATCAAATCTAATCAAATAACATTTTAATTACAAACATTCCATATAAAACCAAAATGTATCAAGGAGTCATCTTAAAGAGATTCTCAGGTACTTTTGTATACTTTTTAGCCAATAGTTCTGAAAGTAGCACTCAGGAGCCAGAAGTAGTCCCGAAAATGGCTGTTTTACCTACATTTCCCACCACCTGGGCCAGCCCCTAGCAATTCCAATTCTAGCCTATTTGAGTGAAAGCTAGCAAGAGGCCTGTCCAGCATTATCCAATAAGGTTGCAGTGCGGGCCCATTGGCTCAGTGGACACAGCAGAGAGAGAAAGAGAGAGAGCAATGACCTGGTGCAGATGCACCAGGTCATTGCTCTCTCTCTTTCTCTCTCTGCTGTGTCCACTGAGCCATTGGGCCCGCACTGCAACCTTATTGGATAATGCTGGACAGGCCTCTTGCTAGCTTTCACTCAAATAGGCTAGAATTGGAATTGCTAGGGGCTGGCCCAGGTGGTGGGAAATGTAGGTAAAACAGCTTCAAGAAAACAGGGGGTTTTGTGGCTAATTGAGGTAAGACAGTAAATCCGCTCATAGATTATGCATTTATGAACTACACATCCAGCCCAAAGCGGGAGGTTTAAAAAATACTTTCTTAGTCACCAAAGTACAGGAGCATGTCTTTAACATAATACGTTTAAGAGATATGGCTAAATCAATTTCACTTTTATCCCATTGCCACTTTAGTGTTTGTGGAATTTAGGGGGGGAATTATACAAAACCTTTTAACCATTGACATGTCAAATCATTGCATTCCAATGTTAAAAGTTGCACCTGAGTGCTGCCATAAGTGGACACAGCTAACTATTTATTTCACCTTGGTGTGGTCAGATGGATAACTTGACGGAGGCTACTTGCATGAACTACGCCCCTTCTCCATAATGGATATGGGCGGCCACTTCTGCTTCTCCTTATTACTCTATAAATAAAGAATCACCAGTTCACTCCAATCTAGAACTGGCAAGCCCACTGACAGAACACTTAATATGCTTCAAGAGACATATCGTGCTCTGTGAATAACTAATTCAAACGTTTTTGCAGCCTTTTAAGCATATCCTTTTCAAACGTCTAGTGCACTTGCAATGGATTTTAAAGAGCTGGGAGGTGAGGACAACTCCGACGGAGATACTGAGGGAGAAGCTGAGGATTTGAACAATGTGAAAGCACTTACCGAAAAACTAAAGTTACAAACCCGCAGACCATCCTACATTGAATGGCAGGAGCGCTTGCAGAGCCGACCGTGGAAGGAAAACCCAAGTTGTTCAGAAATTGGCCAAGAGACTGCAGAGAAATATGTGTACTTGCATGAAATTATGCGGGATGAGAACTCAGATCTAACCATCCGCAACATCTGTGGCTTCCATACCATTGATGATGCGTTGGAATTTCTTAGGAAAGAGCTGGTGAGTGCACTTTTTTTGAATGCCGAAATTCAACATACCTACCCTTTTTTTTCTCCAATTCTGACACGGTTATTTGTACATTGACATGTTAGAAATGAATTAGGCTACACTATTTCTGCATGTCCTAGATATGTAGAATGAAACGAAAATATTATAGTACGAATGAATAAGACGCAGTGCAACTATTTGGTAAACGTACTTACCAGGTAGTTACACTGGTTTGGTTCGGCGGTCTTGTGCGTCCTCATGACGCACGTGCCAGAGCGTAGAGCGTGTGTGACGGAGAGATTTATGGGAAATAATCGTGCTTTCACTGCTGAATTTTGCTTGAATGCCTGTCTGATTAGAGCATGACTTTGTGATATCTTTGCATCCAAAATAATGTAAACATGCTAAAACAATAGGGACCTTCTGTTAATTTCAGAGCAGAAAAATCCCAAAATAGAAAGGCAAAATATTTTTCGCATAGATCATGTGTCAGTGTCATTACACATCAATGGCACCCACTAAATGCAAAAACCTAATCCAAGGGTCTGATTGCTAGAATTGTATATTTGATTACGGATTTCTCCCCATTCTCTCTCATCGCTCTCCTTTCTGCCTGTCATCCTCAGAGGGAGATGCGGTTCCAGGACAACTGTCTGGCTCGGCAGCTGATCCGTCTGCGTGTGGAGATCCACCGGCTGAAGGTGGAGCAGGTGTGTCACTGTCACAAGGAGATGTTGGACAACGCCACCTACGAGCTGGAGGAGTGTGGTGAGGAGTCTGACCTGCTCTGTGACATCCCCATGAAGGCTGCCTTTGCCCTCTCCACCCCCCTCAAACACCTTGGCCTCACCAAGATGAACATCAACTTCCGACGCTTCTCCCTCTGTTAAAACATATTCCACCCTGTGAGGGTGGATTTACTGTATTAACACCTCTGTCTAATCTACGCAGGGTAATCAGGGGTGTTTCCACTGCAAATGTTTATGTTATGACACGAAAGGGAAGACGAATGGCTGGAAGAGTGTGCAGACAGTAATTAGCCAAGTGGGAGGAAATGGAAATGACTCCTTTGATCCATGCCCCAGCCCTGACTTGAGATAGATAGATACAGGCCTCCATAGTAGAGCCCTGTAGGGGCACGACACAACCCCATTGCATAGCAGCACCTTTCTACTGTACCTCATGGAAGGTGCTGACTGATAGGTCAGAGTAGATAGACAGGGAAGATAGTGATGAGGTGTGGATCTGGGGTGGAGGTGGTGTGAGTCTGGATCACCATGCTGTCAGATCAATTGCACTGTACAAAAGCAATAGTTAAGATGACCTTCTGATAGAATGAAGAAGACTGCCATGATGGTGAACCCTACTGTAACTAGAGATGTCTCTTGAGAGTTGCACAGGGGAATTGTCTTTCTTCAGATGAAGAAAAATCTATCACAGCGCTAACACTCACTAACATGAGTTCCATACTGTAATCCCAGTCCAGGAGGAAGTATGTATCAGACACTAGTCACATCACAAGGGACATGTTCCCAAACCCTGTTGACAGCCCAGGCCCTCCCCTCTGTGTTGGCAGAGTCCCAGACAGCAGTACACAGGAAGCTGGAGGTCACATTCCAGCATTCTGTTACCTCTTCTTCAGAGACCAAAAATAACAAGGTCCTCCATGTGGTCATGGCTTCAAGGATATGACATAATTAGAGCCTATGCCCTATGTACTCCATGCATTTTATTTTCCATTAGATGATACAGATGTTGTAGGCCCAAAGTGACAGTGTTGTGTCAGATTATCAGGGTTGAGTTTAGATGTATTTAAAGATATCGTTCTCAGGAAGAGAGAAAGCAGGAGAAACTGAAAGTATCTTTGGGGAAATTTTGAACAGAATTTGGTGGGTTTTTATCGATATTTGCTGAAAAGTACCCAACAAAGTTTAAAACTTTGTTACAAAGTTGTAATACATCAAAATATAGATTTGTAAGTGCCTTATGTACAGAGTTTTCTCCTATATAATACAGGAATATGTTATGGTTATCATTTAATGTATGAGGGAAATATAAATGACTGGAGACAGAGCTGTTCTTTGAAGATGCTTGTTACATTTACATTTCCGTCATTTAGCAGATGCTCTTATCCAGAGCAACTTACAAATGGGCTTGTTGTTAAAAGTTTTTTTGTTTGTTATTAACTCACATGTAAAAAGGCAACAAACTTGAAATTGAAAATAATGTTGTTTTTTGTTGTCTGCATGTCTGTCTATCCATTAGAGAACTGGGTAAATGACCTCCGTCATCACCTGAGACCTCCCTGAGTGCTCAGTTAGCTGTAACCTTTCACATCCTGAAATCCCATTAATGCACAGTTTCATCTTTCAACTGCATCAGCTATTTATATTTTTTAAATGATGTGGTGTAGGCTTAACTTATCAGAAAACACCTTAAAGGTCCAATGCAGCTGTTTTCTTTATCTCAATATCAAATAATTTTTGGGTAACAATTAAGTACCTTATGATGATTGTTTTAAATTAAAATGGTCAAAAAGAAACAAAAATACCTTAGCAAAGAGCAATTTCTCAAGCAATACTTTTGCTAGGACTGTCTGGAAGTGGTCTGAGTGGGGAGGGAAAACTGAAAACTCGCTGTTGTGGCTCTCTTTCTTATTGGTCTATTAACTAATTTATGGCCAGGTGATGTCACCAGGCAGGCCAAATCTCCATCCCACCAAAACAGGCTTACATTTCAGGAGGTCTTTTCAAACAGCTGTTACACTAAGAGGGCATTATCATAATTTTCACAATTTCACAGTATTATTCCAACCTCATAGTGTGAAAACATACATAAAACACAGGAAAATCACGTTTTTGACTGCAGTGGGCCTTTAAGGGGTACAAGCATAAATTGATGAATTCATAACCATGTCAAGTTGTCACCAATTATTGTACAAAATGGGTACATATAAAGGATGTGTGAAGTAGACGTGATATACTAGTTTATGAGATGACCTCATGTATGACGTGAGAGAAAGAGAGAACCAGGTCAATTGGAACCATTGTAATGAATGACATGATAAATACAGGGTGCACAGGGCCTCAGGTAGTACCTTAAGGCCTGATCTTTCATTGGATATCCTCATGTAATGTCCTTTGTAGTGTGGCTTCTATTTCTAGTGTCTCTCACCTATGCTGTCACCAGTTTTCATAAAGTTCAACTGTCCTGCAGTTAAGATGGTTTTCTCTGACCTCACTCCCCTCATATGTACTGTTAATCAACTAATAAACTGATAGCCCTAAGTACGGTATATCGTGACTGTTTCATCATTTTTGAAAATCCTCCAGGCTAGGGTAGGCCTACTCAAGTTCATTTATTTTGTCTGTAATCAAATGACTGCAGTATTAACGCCCTCAAGTAACTATTGTGACACTGCATTGTGTGTCTGTAGGGAAGACAAATGTATTTTTTTGTCTATGTCTGTAGATTAGTTACGATACATAGAATAAATCTCACAGTGCAGCTTATGAAATATTGTAGTGTTTACTGACTTTATTGTCCCCTTAGGGAAATTATGTTTGCGGCATTATCTACATGTGTTGGTTGTGTGCAATAAAATGCAAACACCACACAACTTAATGTAAAGTTTAATATTGCAAACTGCAGGCCAGCCCACTGGTCTTACTGACAAATAATACACTGGTCTTATTGACAAATAATACATAAGACTATTTAATATCACTATTTTAACCAAACATTCAAAAAATTATACATACTGTACATTTTCAGTTAAACAAAGATAGGGTGACAGTAGCTTACCACTCTGATTTAATGCAGTAGACCATGATGCTTACGGGAAATAAAAAAAACTTAGCACAAAGCATTGTTTGGTTTTGAGAATACTGGTAAGCTCATCCACTCATCAGCAGCCAGATAACACCTGCATCATAGAGGATAGCACTAAAGTGACGGGGTTGGAAAATGTGTTTTACTGCACCTAGATACAGTGGCATTTTTCCTATTTTGTTGCCTTACAACCTGGAATTTAAATTGATTTTTGGGGGGTTTGTATCATTTGATTTACGCAACATGCCTACCACTTTGAAGATGCAAAATGGGGATGGTGTTCTCGGGGTGATGAGGGATGTTGGGTTTGCGCCAGACATAGCGTTTTCCTTGATGGCCAAAAAGCTCAATTTTAGTCTCTTCTGACCAGAGTACCTTCTTCCATATGTTTGGGGAGTCTCCCACATGCCTTTTGGCGAACACCAAATGTGTTTGCTTATTTTTTTCTTTAAGCAATGGCTTTTTTCTGGCCACTCTTCCGTAAAGCCCAGCTCTGTGGAGTGTACGGCTTAAAGTGGTCCTATGGACAGATACTCCAATCTCCGCTGTGGAGCTTTGCAGCTCCTTCAGGGTTATCTTTGGTCTCTTTGTTGCCTCTCTGATTAATGCCCTCCTTGCCTGGTCCGTGAGTTTTGGTGGGTGGCCCTCTCTTGGCAGGTTTGTTGTGGTGCCATGTTCTTTCCATTTTTTTATTATGGATTTAATGGTGCTCTGTGGGATATTTTTGTATAACCCAACCCTGATCTGTACTTCTCCACAACTTTGTCCCTGACCTGTTTGGAGAGCTCCTTGGTCTTCATGGTGCCGCTTGCTTGGTGGTGCCCCTTGCTTAGTGGTGTTGCAGACTCTGGGGCCTTTCAGAACAGGTGTATATATACTGATATCATGTGACTGATCATGTGACACTTAGATTGCACACAGGTGGACTTTATTTAACTAATTATGTGACTTCTGAAGGTAATTGGTTGCACCAGATCTTATTTAGGGGCTTCATAGCAAAGGGGGTGAATACATATGCACGCACCACTTTTCCGTTATTTATTTTGTATAATTTTTTGAAAAAAGTATTTATTTTCATTCCACTTCACCAATTTGGACTATTTTGTGTATGTCCATTACATGAAATCCAAATAAAAATCAATTTAAATTACAGGTTGTAATGCAACAATATAGGATAACCGCCAAGAGGGATGAATACTTTGGCAAGGAACTGTAGTTATCTCAATGAGCCTACATAAGTGGCAATGATCTGTAGCAGAAGAGCGAAGAGGAATACCCCAGAATTTTTATATTTTTATTTAAATTAAAAAAATATATATATATCCCTTTATTACTTTCCAACCCCACTACCCCTTCCCTAATTGGAGTAAACTAGTGAACAACAACGCTTAGGCCTCTACTTCCAGCTTAAACATACTATATACATTTTTACATACTGTATACATTTATTATTATTTATTTTTTACTCCTGAACTTCCTCTACCCTCAACCTCTCCGATAATTTTCATGATGACCTTCCATTTTGCTTCTATATGCCATATCTTTCTAACTGTGCTCTTTCACAAAAGCTCTCAACCTATAACCTATTTACTTATTATGGACACATTATGCTTTACATTAGTTATCTTGTTGTTATTAGTTGTTGTTAGTTGTTATTAGTCCCATCCTTCAACTCCATTCAACACCACCCATCTATCTCTTAACACCATCCATATTGTATTGCCATATATTTTCCAACTGTACTGTGATGTTTTACATAAGTTCTGAACCTTTCTATTCTCATTGTTTCTAAAGATTGTAAATTGAAAATAAACATTTTTAAATTTTAGTCATTTAGCAGACGCTCTTATACAGAGCGACTTACAGTTAGTGAGTGCATACATTTTTCATACTGGCCCCCCGTGGGAATCGAACCCACAACCCTGGCGTTGCAAGCGCCATGCTCTACCAACTGAGCTACAGGAGGCCATATAAACACTTTTGCTAAAGGTATTATTATATTATTGATCGATTGACTATGACTTTTCAGATCACCCAGTAGTGCTATCTGCAGGGTTAGCTCCAGGTAAATATTGCAATCCTTTAGCCATTCATGGACCTGTGTCCAAAAACAAGATACAAATGGACAGTACCAAAACAAATGATCTAATAGTTCTGTCTCTTCGCAGGTAAATCTGCAGAGCTGGGAAGATTGTATCCCCCATATAAATAACATTCTATTGGTAGCAAGAATTTTATATAATAATTTTAATTGAAAAATTCTAAGTTTTGAATCCGGCTTCGTTTTGCATATCAGTTCATAAACACTATGCCATGGAATCGGTACGTCAAAAATCTCTTCCCAACTATTTTGCAATCTATATGGGACGGCTGTCAATCCTTTGGTCCTGAAATGAAACTGGTATACTTTTTTATTTATCACAATTTTCTTTAACCAATTATGTTCTTTAATGCAGGGGCGACAGACAAGTTCCTTACTTTTTCCCCCTTCCACTTTCCTCTTCCATTTTTGCGGTAATGCTGCAATTATTTGGTTGTAATTTTGGGTAGAGCAGACATTACCATATGTTTTTGTTAGCTCTATGTGCGACATAACTCCACCAGTTCTACCTATGATATAATTTACAAAGATTATAGCTTTTTTTACAATTTGGTCAAAAAATAATGTTTTTTTATCAATTAGTATATTTGAGTTTAAACACAATATTTGTTGCATTATTTGTTCTGTCATTTCTGGAGGATTAAATTGAAATTGCAACCAACTTTCTATGGCTTGTTTTAGAAATAGTGATATTTGGGAGATGATTTCCTTTTCAAATAACTGAAAGTGAGAGGTTGTAATCTGAATAAAGGAAAAAAGGCCATTCTTGAACATTGGGTGAGACAATCTTACTAATTTGCTAGAGAACCAGTTCGGATTTAAGTATAACTTTTGTATGACTGAAGCTTTTAGTGATAGGTCTAATGC